ATAAAATGAACAGCTAATATTCCCTCATTGATTTGTGAACCTGTAAGAGATTTAAGCAGACTAGCCCAGGGTTTAATCTCTCACCATAATCTTCCTCACGACAGGATTATAAAACAGACATCAATAACGTATGTACGACTCTGAGGTCCTTAGAAGCAGGGCTGTGGCTAGGGGGTGGTAAGGTGGCCCCCGCCAGGGGCACAGGCGATTGGGGGGGGCGCAAAATATATAAGTCCATAAATATATTGATTATTGCCTCATAAGAATTGGTTTTAAATAGAGGGTGAATTGAATAGGGGGTGGGGGTGGGGCAGAGGCAGAAATAAGAGCTAAATTGTCCGTGGCTAGGGGGCGCAATCTGGATGCTTAGAAGAGCAGGAAAATATAGGTGTTTTAAATGTCCAGAGCTTTAAAAAATGATTTTGGCTTTTTATATTAATATGTAATTAATGTTCATTTGTATTGGCATGAGATTTGTGATGAGGCCAGAATGCTCCTGAGCCTAAATCCAGGGAGGTTTCAAGCCACAATGCAGGTTGGATGGCAGCTAGAACATAAGTTGTATTATGCAACTGGACACATGTTAAGAGTAAAGTCACACCCGATGTGTGGCCATCAAGGCCACAAAGACTATTCTACATGGCAGGAGGACCGCTGACATCTGTCCCAGGGAATGGAGTGTTGGAAATGTTGAGGGTCTACTGTGACAAGTTTGTCAGGCACTTCGATGAGGAACTATTGCTAGCTCTCCATGCTGAGTTGAATGCTGCCGTTATTACAAAGCCACTTGAGATGTCTGCTGCAACATACAGCTTCAGTTAATGAGGCTTGAGGACTTGGACGAGGTTGTTGTCATGGTTCAGGCCAAAGCATACTTTCTCAACCCTTGCCCAGCATGGCTTATTCGAGCTACCCAGTGTGAAACCAGGGTAGTAGTAATGTATATTTACATGAGATGGTACATGACACCCTGAGGAAAGCAGAAGTGTGACTGCTCCTAAAAAAAAAGTCGTTGTTGGAGCATGAGATACTTGACAACCAGTTCAGTCACAAATGCCTTTTCTGAGCAAGATGCTTGAGAAGGTAGCAGTATTTCAGCTGCAGACATTCTTGGAGAAAACGAAGTAAGTTGACCCATTCAGCTTGGGTTCAGCCATTTGGTGACAGAATTTGTTCTGATCACCCTTATGGATGACCTTATTTTTTTTTGGGGGGGGGGGGAAGAGGAAATACAAACTTGCCACTCAGATGTTTTCTATACTATTGACGATATCTTCCTATGAGTCGGTGACACTGTTTTACAATGATTCAGCACCTACTTAAAGTCCACTTCACTGATTTATGAGAATTACATCAATTATTTGCTTCAGATGTCCTGTAACAATGTATTTTATTTCTTTATTTTTGGTGCACTTTCCCTGCTCTAAGACTGGATCCTGTTTTAGGTTTTTATGTTGATTTGCGTTGTTTGCACACCACTTAGTTTCTTTAAAAATATTCAGCACTTTAGAAATACTTTTAAACAAATAAATTAATAAATTATCGAGGGTATCCTCTATCTTCAGAGAAGAAACAGTCTATGGGGATGTGGTACTATTATTATAACAGTATTAAAGGTCATAAGAGGAAAAACACCATCTGCAAAAGGGTGGTCAAGCTCCTTCAAATGAACAGCTTGCAGTAGTTCATCAAATTGTTTTAATTTAACAGCATACAAGCTAATAAACCTAAAGAGAAAAAATGGCATTGAACAATTTTATTGAAGAAAAACAGTAAGTAATTTGTAGATTGTAGTTTTATTGGTACTAGTCACTAATCAGACAAATCAGGAATCCATGTTTCTGTGAAAGGTCTCATTTAAGGCACTGATTACTGGCTCACAAAATCTATCCAAAAAATTATATACTGCTTGATTATAATAAAAACTCAGTGGTTTACAAGAAATATTAGAATTATTAATAAAAGCAATTAAAAACTTTAAAAGGATAATTGAAATTAACAGTAAAAGATTAAGGCACATCAACATCTATGTGGTGTTTTTTGGGGGGCGGGGAAGGTTGCCTAAATTCTTTAAGTAGGCACCAGAACATGTACAGCAAAGGTACCTGTCTGATATCAACAGGTAGGGAGTTCAAGAGTGCAAGTTGTGCCACACCAAAAGATAAACTTCTTACAATTGTAGAATGAGTATTATGTGGCAATTGTAGCAGTGCCAGTTCGCAATTCAAAGAGGTAGAGTGGGTACATATGGATAAGGCGATCCTGCAAGTAAACCAGGACCCCACAGGTCCCAAGTCAATAGTAAAACTTTGAAATTGGCTCAGTAACAACTCAGCAACCAGTGCACACCAAATTTTGAGCAGTGATCTTTCACTCCTGCCAGTAACCATTCTGTAGCATTCTGCAGTAACAGCAGTTGCCAGGTCAAGCACAAAGGATGTTCCACAGAATACATAGCATTAATCCAATACGGAAGTCAGTGTTGCCTGAACTATGGTGGTCAAGCTCTTCCAACGGTTGCAGATGTCACACCAGGCACAACTCCTAAAAGGTGATTCTAGCCACTGGGGCTACTTGGGCCTGAACTCGTAAAGCTAGATCCAGAATTACACACCCCCACCCCGCCCGACTGCATATGAGCTATCAGGGGGAGTGCAACTCTGTCCAGGGAAGGAAATTGCCCAATTTCTTGGACACAGGAACCATTCACCCACAGTGCCTCCATCTTTTCAGGATTCAAGCTCAGCTCCCACCCACCTCATCCATTCTACTACTGTGTTCAGGCACTGGCCTAGGGCCCACATAAAGTTAAAGGTAAAGGTATCCCTGACCAACAGGTCTAGTCGTGACCGAATCTGGGGTTGCGCGCTCATCTCGCTCAAGAGGCCGGGAGCCGGCGCTTGTCCGAAGACAGCTTCCGGATCACGTGGCCAGTGTGACTAAGCCGCAGCTGGCGAGCCAGCACCAGCGCAGCACACGGAAACGCCGTTTACCTTCCCGCTGGAGAGCGGTCCCTATTTATCTACTCACACTTTGAGGTGCTTTCGAACTGCTAGGTGGGCAGGAGCTGGGACCGAGCAATGGGAGCTCACCCCGTCGAGGGGATTCAAACCGCCGACCTTTCGATCAGCAAGTCCTAGGCCCTGTGGTTTAACCCACAGCGCCACCCGCGTCCCAGGGCCCACATGGCCTGCCCCAATTCAGAAGTTATGGAGAAACACAGCTGAAATGTCATCAGTGTACTAATAGCACCTTGCCCCAAAACGCCTAACGACCATTCCCAGTGGCTTCATATAGACATTAAATAGCACTGGAGACCAAATACTGCCCTGATAAAGTAACCACCAGAGGATCAAAAAGCACTCTCCCAGTGCTACTATCTGAACTACTGTAGCACAGTGCCCCCAATTACCATCCCACAGAACCAGTCCAGGATACCATGATATGAAAAAAAGAAGAGCTGACAAGGTAACACATAATTTCTCAACACGAGTATTTTTTTTTTTAAGTGACATTTCCTAGAAGAGTGCTTGAAGTGACAGGCTCCAACTTACGCACAAACTTTTGCCCCATGCATTTGAAAGTGCTGGATGTAATCACTGATACAGAGAAATGGATCCTGAATCCTGTCAAACTCATTTCAGTGCTAAAAATTATGATCCATAGATGAAATTCAGGCGACTTTTTTTGGGGTGTGTGTGGAAAAAGTACCCTCATGGAATGTGAGATGATAAACTGCTGCACGCCCAAGCCAACATTTCTATAAAAAGTACTGGCCATGTTTGTTTGAACACAGGCAGCTTCCAATTTACATGGGGGTTGTGTTCCAAGGCACCACATGCTTACGTGAAATCACAGACATCTGAAACATCAGTGGAAAAGCCTGAAAACACCTTGTTCCGCCCCTGCACCACCCCTTTTTGTGATGTTTTCGGGTCACTTCTGGGTTCAGCATGATGCATGCATGTGTGCTTGCGCACATATCAAACACATCTAAAATGGTCACTGCCTGTGGTAATTTCAAGCTTCAACATACTTGTTCTAGAGCCACTCTGCTGATGCCAATGACATTGCTTTGGAGTAAGATAAGCTATACATTATTGCTTTTGCCATAGAGACCAGAAGCAGCTTGCTATTCTACCATCTACCAACTATGTAGATTCACTTTTTCTGAAAGGAAGCAATCAGTATTGCACCTTCATTGTTGCCAACAATATTCAAACTGCAGAACTGCTTAATGGGAGAGGGGCTGGGGGGGATGTTTCATGCCCTTTCTGAAACATAAAGAAGAAGAGAAGAAGAGTTTGGATTTGATATCCCGCTTTATCACTACCCAAAGGAGCCTCAAAGTGGCTAACATTCTCCTTTCCCTTCCTCCCCACAACAAACACTCTGTGAGGTGAGTGAGGCTGAGAGACCTCAAAGACGTGTGACTGGCCCAAGGTCACCCAGCAGCTGCATGTGGAGGAGCGGAGATGTGAACCTGGTTCCCCAGATTACGAGTCTATCGCTCTTAACCACTATACCACACTGGCTCTCAGTGTGAAAGCTGTTCCATAAAATCCTAGTAGAATTACCTACTAATTCAGAATTTTGCTTTAGTGAAAACACTTTCAAGTAGTTACAACTCCTCAAAAAAGAAAAGCTAAGCTTTATGAAGCCCCCTTTTAAAATAAAAATGGTAACTTAGTTGCCCAAATAAAAGAATAGCTATTCCATAGAATGAATCTTCTCCATTTATATAGCTTTAGTACCAATACTGTCATTTGCACATGTTCCGAAGCAAGTATGATTTCAAAAATTTCAAATGAAGTATTACAGTAAGTATCTTTGTGGGATAAAAAGATGGCTCTCTCTCTAAGTAATGTAATATGCTTTGTTGAATCTCAATGGTATTTCAAAAAGTACTTTTGCTTTCTTCCTGCTTCATTCATGCAGATGTGAAGGATAATATGTCAGTGTATCATTGCATATTTCCAAATCTTCCGTATGGTAGAAATGATCCTCAGGGGCGGGAGAAGAATCAGTCTTTGGCTCTGTACAGTTTCTCAGGGTAAACTCCTTGGTGATACAGAATTTCATCTGGCCAATTATCTGTATATGACCCTGGTAGGAAAATAAAGCAAAAATGGAGCTTCTGTTTTAAAAGTCCACTATAGAAATTTTTAGAAAAAGAGAAATATTAAACACTAAAGAGAAATTTTATTGGTTAATCAGTTGTGTGGCATTTGGGTGCAATGAAGCCACAATCTTGATAAACCAAGTGCTAATTGCTGCATTTAATGAGATAGAGGTATACTACATTTTTTCATATTAAATATTGATTTTATAATGTAATTTTTTGTTATTAGACTAAAATGTTATATTCTCAAGATGACTAAGAGGTAAGTAAACATAAACTAAAATGTATCATTTCAGATTCGGAAGGTTTCAAGTTCTGTGAATATTAATTTGGATCTTAACAAAATTTGAGGACGACATCCCTCCAACATATGTTGAGAAATTGTTTAACAGATTTTCATCAAGGAATAGAGTGGGCTGAAAGGTTAACATAATGGATACAATTCTGTAAGACATCTTTATTTTCAAAACTTGGGGGCAATCCCCACTTCAAAATGTCAAATATTAAAAACAATCTTTCTAAAAGAGAAAGGTTGACTAAGATTAATAAACAGATACCTCTTTTCCAGGAAGACACTGAATCTTTGGTGTTACACCATAAGCATCTGTAAGAGCATCTCTGATGGCTGCCAGCTAGGGATTAAAACATGAAAGAGTTAAAATACCACTTCAACAAATATTTACACAAAAAACTTTATGGAAAAGAAATACACAGAATTATATTTAAATTTTGTTTTATGATGCAATAATAACATTTAACAGTTTACTAATACTATTATTACAGTGGTAGCTTGGTTCTCGAATGTAATCTGTTCTGGGAGTTCCTTTGACTCCCAAAACCAAGCCACGGCTTCCAGTTAGCTGCAGGAGCTTCCTGCACTCAAGCGAAAGCTGCACTGAACGTTCAGCTTCTGAAAAAGGTTTGCAAACCGGAACACTTACTTCTGGGTTTGCGGCGTCTGGGAGCCAATTTGTTCAGGAGCCAGGCCATTCAACTACTAAGGTACTACTCTGTATTTATTTATACTCTGCTTTTCCCCCAGACAGGGGCGCTAGATAGCTTACAGATAAAATAGAAAAAGCTAAAACCATAGAACGCTAATAATTAAAAAGGTACCAAACACAAACAGAATTAAAAACAATACACCAAAAGACCTATTAAAAAACAACAACAAAACAATGGCACAGAACAATGCAAAACAATTTCTCCTCATACCTGGTAACTGGTACTTGCCTGGTGTTATTCCCAACTTTCAAGAGATAACTGAAAAAGAGACATATTTCATCTAGCACTGAACAGGAAAAATTCACTACATGCAACTGTGTTATAGTCGGCCAATATTCTCACTTTGTACTGAGGTAAGACATCCTAGCCTCGGTTTGGGTAGGATGATCATGAGACCCTAGAGGTGTGGCTAGCAACCCACATGAAACTTGTCCAGAGCACTTTAGATTCTATCTATACTTTACTTTTCCATGCACTTAATTTTCTCCTTATCTTCCCACAAGCTTCTTTGTTATTTTTGATAGCTGTTGGTATTCCTCAAAATATTGATCCCCAATATCTAAAGGCATTGTGTTCAGTAGCTATTTGTTTGCCAGCGACCCTACAGAACAGATGCTTTCAATAAGAATGAACTGGGGTTCTTATGATTTTTTAAAATATATTCTCTACTAACCCTGAACTTTACTGGCAACTCAAGTTTTGGCCCACATAAAGAAACAATTAACATTTAAAGTCATATAGACATATGCTGTCTCAATGGAAAGTCCTGGCTGTTGGAAAGCAGTGGCTTGCTAACATTCGTGGAGCGCTATCTGTAGCAAATACAGCTGCTGATGAATGCCTGTATGTTGCAGAGGTCTCCAAAGACATCCATTTCCCCACCTGTTAAGATCAATTCTTTTATAGAGCTCCAGAGCTTTACTAAAGTACTTTTCTTCAGAATTAAGGGATTCCAGCATAGCAGCACAAGTCCCATGTTTCTCCCATTCATGCTTCCTACATAAACAAAACAAAAGTGTTGGGTTACATCTTTAGATTTGGATGTATTCAGAGGTCTACAAAAAAAATTCTATAGCAAAAATACTTAAAATTTCAGAAGAAAATTTCAAATGTGTACCTGGTTGAACTTCCAACTCAAAGCACTCTTCCCCTTAAGCATTCTCATTCTTCATATCATTAAACATTTCCGAAGTCTCAATCACAATGTTCATTTCTATGAGTATACTCCAAATGTAGGACGACGGCAAGAGTGGCTGTTCTCTCCCTCCCCGCCCCCACTAAACCACAATCCCTAGATTCCCAGCTTTCGTTTTTATAAAAAGTAACTGTCTAGCAACTGTAGAACCTGACATATGAGGCAAAACTTGCAGGCACCATCCTCATTTGTGGTATGAGAAACCACAAAACTTGCAGGCACCACTGGTGTTTTTCACCAACGAATGAAGCCAGAGCAATGATTCACATTTAGGATCTAGCCAATTAGACGAGATGAAGTCATTGCCAGACTCTTGAGAAGTAAGTTCTTGGTTTGCTTTCAAATTCTTTATGCTTGTTTTCCCTGGTGAAGTGATTGCTGCCTTATAGGGGGGGAAATCAAGTATTCATAATTTTAGCATAGCTGTGATTATTTTACTATTATTATTTATTAATTTTGTACTCTGCCCTAACAACATGAAGATTGGGAAGCATCCCAGACACTGAAGAACTGTTATCTGATGCTAGTTCTGCATATTTTATTCATTTGTTTGGTGTATTTACTCTGCCCCCTCCCCACAAAAAATCCTGCAGATGCCTATGGGTGCACTTCCTAAGACAGTGGTGTCCAAACTTTTTTCAAAGAGGGCCGTGGGAGCCAACCAAAGGGCCAACCTAAGTAGTTGTTGACCTTTTTCTAGGATTGAAGTAGTTGAGGGTTTTTTTAGGATTTTACCCCAGAAAATAAACTGCCACAGGGCGGGCAGGATTAGACCCCAAACCAGAATTTGGACATGCCTGTCCTAAGAGATGCCATTTCAGGAGATAAAAATCCCCATTTCAGTTTGGGACAAAATGATACAAAAAGTTGCATTTTTGAAGTAATGAAGTACAGAAAGGATATGTAAGCAGCAACAATCCTGTTTTATTTGGCCCTGGTTGCCCTTCTGCAACTCTTTATCTTTCCTACCCAAACATGCATCTTCCTCTCAGGAATGTGGGATGCTCTTCATACTGGATAGTTGCAAAATATGTACATTTTCACAAACGTATATCCACAACTAGTAGCACTGGTATATATATGTACACTCTGTAGATTTACAATTTCTGAGATTATACATCATGGTGTTGGGGGGTTGGGGGTTGGGGAAGAAAGAGCACGTGTTGATAGGGATGGGTGATTAGGGTGAAATGGGGAGCTTTCCTTTCATGAAAACTTTGTGTTAATTTAACTTTGGATCCAAACAGATATCTGAAATGTGTTACCTATACCTTGCTCCTATAATATTATTTCCCCCCTTATATTTATAGTTTAGTTTTCATATACAGTGGTGCCTTGCAAGACGAAAATAATCCGTTCCGTGAGTCTCTTCGTCTAGTGGTTTTTTCGTCTTGCGAAGCAACCCTATTAGCGGCTTAGCGCTATTACCGGTTTAACGGCTATTAAAGGCTTAGCGGTTTAGCGGCTTAGAAAAAGGGGGGGAAAGCGGGAAAAAATCGCAAGACTCGCAAGACGTTTTCGTCTTGCGAAGCAAGCCCATAGGGAAAATCGTCTTGTGAAGCAACTCAAAAACGGAAAACCCTTTCGTCTAGCGGGTTTTTCGTCTTGCGAGGCATTCGTCTTGCGGGGCACCACTGTAACCCTTACAACCCCCACCAAATCTGCTCCAGGGTGTTGGGAGATCCTCCAAAGGCGATTGGGAGGCAATGCAGGAAGGGGAGAGGAAGGGGAAGTCCTGCTGCATAAGTGGAAGCCTGCTGGATATTTTCCCATTGTGATTTTGGGTTCCAAATTATTTCCCATAGTGAAGAGAAACTTGTATGCTTGAATACTCTAATCTTTTTCTGTATTAATGGAGTTCTTCAGGTGTTTGGTTCTGTATTTTTCAAGGAACCTGTTGCTACTCAAAAAGAGATAAACTAGTAGAATGCTTCAGTTCAAAGACATAGCATTTCTACGTCTTCTGCTTCATATGAAATTGGAAACTATGGAAACCACAAACGCTGAAAGCTTCTGCATATAAGAAAAACTAGGGTTTTTTTTTCATTTGTCAGTTGACAAGAAAACCATCTTGTCCTTGTTCCTAGCAGATTTCCACTTGTCAAATATGAAGCACGATGTCACTAGCTTGACTGCATCACAGAAAAAGACAAAGGTTAATTGTTCAATATTCTCTTTCAGTGCGTGTTGTCAGCGCTAAAGCTTTGTACAGATTCTTCCTCCTTTCAAGGTTACAGAGGAGGTTAGAGAAAGAGGAGCACCACACATAGAAAACAGATAGGACTTTGCACATTCAACATACAAATTCTATTTATTTATTTAGGGTAAGTTCCTGACATATCAATGGGACAGCTAGGGAACAGAGAAAAGCAGCACACATTACAGCAAGCTGTATTCTCCACTACCATTTTTTGGACTTTTGCACTATGTTCACATTATATAGCTTTGGGCTCCAATATGGAATTGTGCATGCAGCCATCAAGAGTGTGATGCTGCAACTATGGCCCAACACTGCCATTAAGGGAGATGTGTGGCTGGCTCTAACCCTTGATTCATCAGCAACATCTCGTAAAGAAAGACATATGGCACGACACACTATCACTGTGCACGCTACTCCTGGGCCCACTCCACTTTATTGGCTGCCGCTTGTGCAGGGCAAAGAACACACTGAGCACAGGGATATTATATCACATATCATTTTTACTAGACAGTTCCATGGAGACATTGGTTGTGACGGCAATATGCTCCCCATAATGGCTAGTTTTGGCCTGTATTTCAGTCCAGTTACAAACAGAGCAGAAAGCACCTTCAATTGGAAGAAATGGGAATTATACCTCGGCCATGCTTGATGGACTGCTTTAAAGAATAAATGCTGTTTCTGCCATATCAGACTTAGAGAAAGAAATAAACTCTGCCCCCCAAATAAACAATATAAGGTTGCAGAAATCTAAAATTCTGCCTGAGAATGTCAGTGGCTCAGGATTCAGTTGTGTGGCCTGGCCTTGGTGACTTTATTACTTTATTATGTTGTATATCTGACATTGAATTGCTAGTTTTAACAATATGGGATTGTTTTATTGCTATGTTTTAAAATGTTATCTATTGTATGTTATTGTTGTTTTTCATGTGACCTGCTTTGGGAGGAATTTTATTCCTGAAAGGTAGTCTAAAATAAATAAATAGCACTGAGATCTGGTACATATATTACTCTGACATAAAATTCCATATATCCTACAAACTTACAGAGGATTGGATCCAGACTTTGCCTTCTGCCAACAGAAGGACTCCCATCTGTCTACCCAAAGTTTCTGATCCAGTGCAGTCCCACTGACAGAAAGGGGGGCATTTTTGTCAGTTCTTTCATTTTCCTGCAAAGGCCCATCTGGCAGTTGGGAAACACCCAAGCACAGCATGGGGAGTGCGGAGCAAGGAGAAATGGGTGGCAATGGTCCACTTTTTCAGATGCTGCTGATGTCAGCAGAAGAAACTATCGATCTAATGCAGAGATTTGTGTGGGTGAAAAGGGAAATAAAGCAATGGCATAATAATTTCTAGAAGTTCTGTGCTAGATTTCACTTTCACCTAGTTCCTATGGATGTCCAGAGTCTATCCACTCTGGTGAAAAAAATTGAAAATGAATAATTTTGTAACGCTACCAAAATGTTTAAAAGTGGCACAACTCACCAGAAAAAGGTATGGTTTGGATGAAGCACATCTGGCCAATATTTCTTCATGTCACCCATGAGATCCTATAAGTAAGTAAGTAAGTAAGTAAGTAAGTAATGTAAGTAAAGGCTCTCATAAGCTAAAAAGCACCACTGAGCTCCAAATAACATGCAGCTACAATGAGAACATGAACCTATCCCTGGCTGTAAAGACTGCAGAGCAAACACAGGTATGGCAGCATCCCCATGTACACTTATGCCTGCAGACTGTAAATCATAAGGAGCAAACCCAGTATTTCAGCTCCTGGCTGCCATAGGACTATGCTAGTATTAAAAGCTATGGACTACTCAGCAAGTTTTTTGGATGGGGCTCAGGGGACCATCAGATCTCTTCAGCTACAGTCTGCATTAAAAAACAAAACAAAAACCTTGTGTGGTCATCTCATGCATAAGCTTCTTCCAGGCATGGCACAGAGCAACAATGCTGGATCTTCTGTTTTTGTAGAATGTCACATATCTACTCTTAATTTAATTTATAAATGCTGTATTTGGTATGAAGCTGTAAGTGGGGCAGGGGGAGGAGAGGGAGAGGGAGGGGGTTAAGTGTGCTCTCTGTTCCTGTTTTTGAAAATAGAAAAAAACAAACTAAACAACAACAATAAATGAAAAAACAAACACTTCATCTATAAAATAAAATAAAATGTAATGTCTTGTGATCTACCACAAACCCTTGGAGTTGGATGGTACAGAAAGAGATTTAGAATAAAATAGCACATCTACCTCTAATAGCAATTGACAGGCTATGAAAAATCTGGATGAGGCAACAGCAAAAAACAAAACCATACTCAGTATCTGCATTTTCATATAATTTATACCTGAAGTTCAGATAAGTTAAAGTGCCAAGTTCTATTACAGTCTTCTGCTTTATCAGGCCTATGAGAGAATAAAAAGAACAAAATTTAAATACCCCTAAACAGTGGTGGTGGTGGTGGTGGTGGATGAAACTGGTCTACATAATATTTCAATTTGAAATTACATTTGGAAAAAATGAATCCCTTTCTACAATATTATGCCTAAGACAAAGCTTTCACAATATATCACTATAAAAACAAATAAGCTACATAAAAGCTTCCCTAGCAGTTTCAAACTGCTTTGAGATCCAATAGCATGTACCAGTAAAACTTGACCTGTCTATCAAGCATCTGTCTGTCTGTCTGTCTGTCTGTCTGTCTGTCTATCTATCTCCTAAACATAAATGATTTTTTCTTTGTTAAAAATAGGACAAACTTCAGTGATAATGAAATGTGCAGAAATGCATCAATTTCAACCACAAGGTGCTGATCCGTACTTGCATTTTCTCATAGAGGTGAAGGGCAATGGAAACAGGAATGAAGGTATTTTAAAAATATTGTGATTATGCATTTAAAGTTGTTGCCTTTCTTGAATATTTTAAGATAGGGTGGTTATTTATTCCAAATGAACAGAGATGGTATACTACTACTGTAATAGTCTTGTCAAATGTAAGACACTACCAGCTTGTAAACAGATGTAGTGTAAGTGGCCATTGCTGTATTTAATAGTTTGACATGCATAAAGTAGGTGTAAAATAGTAAGGGTTAGGTGCCACTAAAACAGAGGTGGGGCATCTGTGGTCCTTCAGATGCTGTTGTGCAACAACTCCCATCATCCCTAACCATTGGCTGTGCAGACTGGAGCTTATGGGAGTTGGTGTCCAGCAATATCTGGAGGGCCAAAGGTTCCCCAGCCTGGCACTAAAACCACCAAGGTTTGTGGGTGAGCATTCAGTGGCCTTGCAGCTAAGCATCCTGCTCCAATTCCTGGAGAATCCAAATTCAAGGCCACCACCATTCATTGGATCTGATGCATCACATTCCAATGAGTTTCTTTTTTTGTGGGGTTTCAATAATACACCTTTAGATATGCGGGCTTTGACCAAAAGGAATTATATAGGTCATCTAGGCCAAACTCTTAATTAAATATGATATAATGTAGCATTATTTTCAGAGTTAAAACCTTACCAGAGTCCATGGATTGTCCAGTACAATAGTGGATCTTCTTTGCAATCATGTTCATTCATCTGCAGAAAACAAGTCAACCAATTTATCAGGGAAAGCCAGTTTTTATGCTAAAACAAAAACACACACACTTTTAAGCTAAATAGTTCCAATATTCAAACTTAGCTAAACCTGCCAATTGCTATAGCTGTTAAAAGAACAGGAGCATTAATATCATCATCATTATTTATTAAATTACATTTATTAAATTTCTATGCTGCTGTAAATTGGTTATCTACCACTAGCTTTTTTTTTAATAAACACGGGTGGTGCTGTGGTCTAAACCACAGAGCCTAGGGCTTGCCAATCGGAAGGTCAGCAGTTCGAATCCCCAGGGCGGGGGTGAGCTCCCGTTGTTCGGTCCCAGCTCCTGCCCACCAAACAGTTCGAAAGCACGCCAAAAAGTGCAAGTAGATAAATAGGTACCGCTCTGGCGAGAAGGTAAATGGCGCTTCCATGCGCTGCTCTGGTTTGCCAAAAATGGCTTAGTCATGCTGGCCACATGACCCAGAAGCTGTCTGCGGACAAACACCGGCTCCCTCGGCCTAAAAGTGAGATGATCGCACAACCCCAGAGTCATCCGCGACTGAACCTAACGGTCAGGGGTACCTTTACCTTTTATTAACAACTCACCTTACATACTGTCACTGGCCACTGATGCACAAGGTACAACATTTCCCACTTATGAGGATGATCATCACTGAAACATAAAAAATAAATTTTTCAAGATGTTTGAAGAACAGAAAGGCAGCAAGTAACAATAGAAATTTTGGGGACTCTTTTTTTTGATCTTTAGTATCAATTTTTACAGCTGTTAAAATGTGCCGTTCTATCAGCTTTGTAGGATGCGGGTGGCGCTGTGGTCTAAACCACTGAGCCTCTTAGGCTTGCCGATCAGAAGGTTGGTGGTTCAAATCCCCACGACAGGGTGAGCTCCCGTTGCTCAGTCCCAGCTCCTGCCAACCTAGCAGTTCGAAAGCACGCCAAAAAGTGAAAGTAAATAAATAGGTACCGCTCCGACGGGAAGGTAAATGGTGTTTCCATGCACTGCTCTGGTTTCACCAGAAGCAGTTTAGGTCATGCTGGGCACATGACCCGGAAAAACTGTCTGCAGACAAACGCTGGCTCCCTCGGCCTGTAAAGCAAGATGAGCGCCGCAATCCCAGAGTTGTCTGTGACTGAACTTAACTGTTAGGGGTCCTTTACCTTTACCAGCTATGTACACAGCAACCTAATACTACAATGGGATTTTCTACTGCTTAGTATAAGATAACTTGAGCCATTTTCTATGGTCCTTTACTACAACAAGAATGTTAAGGCTGTGATCCAAATAAACCGAAAACTGCAAGCAAAGTCCGAGGTTTGTTCTGAAGCTTCTACAGTAACTGTTCAAACTGCTGAAGAAACACGTTTTTCATTTTAAAATGAAGCTTCCCTTGGCAACCTTATGAGCAGCAGTGGTGGAAACAACAAAGAAATCTCCAGTTGCAAACAGTTCTCCACGGTATGCATCAATAGATTTGGTGAACTGTGGTTTAAGCATTCATTTACCACATTTGTATTGAGAAAAACCTGAGATAGTTCATCTTATTGTATGGATAGCAAATAAACATAGGCAAGCAAAAGTGAAATTAACTAGAAGAAAATGACTTCTATGGTTATTAAAATTAAACTAAGAGTAATACAATATGAGGGACATGGGTGGTGCTGTGGGTTAAACAACAGAGCCTAGGAATTGCCGATCAGAAGGTTGGCGGTTCGAATGCTCGTGACAAGGTGAGCTCCCATTGCTCGGTCCCTGCTCCTACCAACCTAGCAGTTCGAAAGCATGTCAAAGTGCAAGTAGATAAATAGGTACTGCTCCAGCGGGAAGGTAAACGGTGTTTCTGTGTGCTGCTCTGGTTCGCCAGAAGCGGCTTAGTCATGCTGGCCACATGACCCGGAAGCTGTACGCCGGCTCCCTCGGCCAATAAAGCGAGATGAGCGCCACAACCCCAGAGTTGGCCACGACTGGACCTAATGGTCAGGGGTCCCTTTACCTTTTAATACAATGTGGTGGGAAACACAACACTTTGTTTTTTTAGATTAGTTAGCTCACTTAGAGAACTACTGTTTAACAAAGCCACACTCTAAGAGTAAAATGTGGGGGACACCTAACTGGAAGAATTTATAGCAAGATGGACATATATTCTCCCCCCCCCCGGACTTGCTAGGTCAGTTTGTAACCACTTTCTGGATTTATTTTTGTGCAATGCTGATTCTAAAACCCGGGAAGTAGAGAAAGGTGTGTAGAAAAGATAAAGAGTATCTTCATTGCTCTGTCCACTTTTGCCCCTGGCTGAAAAAAGGTTAGCCACACCTGCAATAGTATTTGGTTGAAATAGGAGACAGAGCATAGAAATCATTAAAACTGCCTTTCTTCACTGTACAAGATGTTCCAATACTTACGATTCCTCCAACTCATGTGTAGCAGTCCCACCAAAGATAGCAAGCCAAAAGCACCCAACAAACAAACAGTATGAAGTAATAGGATTCATGCTCCTTTTTGGTGACTCTATGATAGAAAAGAAAACATGTAAACACAAGACCACAATCAGGCAACTGTTAGAAGTGAATGAGAAATCAAACTTTTGACCCTCCAGATTTTGTAGGACTCCAGCTCCCATCGGCCCCAGTCAGCATGGTCAATGGTGATGGGATGTGTAGTGCAGCAACATCTGGAGGGACACAGATTCTCAATCACAGTTTTAAAACATATGATACCATGAACGAGAACTGAAATTTTAGAAATCAAGTGCTGCCAATCAACCTGCAATAGATCTTGAAAATTGTGCATGATTTTCCAAAAGGAAAACCATATCCTAATATCAGGACTCTGTTTATCCTTTCATTTGCTAAGTTATTTGTTCCAGTATCCATTGGAGGCAAATACCAGATTTCCTGATAGTCAAGTCCTATGTATTAGTTCAGAACTACACATGTACTCAATTCAAATATACAATGTGATTTCTAGTATTTCTTGCTCCAGCAATGTGCAAGAAAGTCACACCCAGTGACATTATACCTTTGCAATTTTTAAAACTGTGAACCCTAGCGATTAAGGCTGAAGTCTAATACAAACTTAAATGCCCTTAAACAAATTGAAATCAATTGACTTAACCAAGCCTAACTCTGTGGGTTGAATCCAACCTTAGAATGTGGCCTGGCCAACTTATGAAGTATAACATTTATCCTGATTAACTGAGCACAATACATTTAAAAAGGAGTATATTCCTCTAAGAGTCACTTTGCTTTTCTCCATAAATGCTGGCTGTTCGGACAGCAGATTGAGATATGAACACAGCACTCAGCAGAGACACACTATTTATAAGGAAAACTAATTCCACAAACAGGTGACATTACTATTAAGAACCTTTAAGAACTGTTTCAGTGTTTCCAGTGGTAATGCAAGTATCTTATTGGATGTCATTCTTCCTTGATAGGCTTCCTAATATTTCCTGCGAGATTTCTTTTTCTCTCTTTTGAAGTAACATGCATCTTAACATGATTATACAGGGACTCATTCCAACGTTACTGTAAGTAAAATATCCACATGCAGATGGATCCCAAGGAGCATCGCAGATCTCTGTTCCCCGCTCCCTTTGCAATGAGAAATGTGTGAACAAATCTGATACCAGATAAGGTGGTGGTGGTGGGGAGCTGGCAATGGATATATAGGGGAGAAAAAACAGGACTTGATGAGACTGCGTATCACAAGGCTCAAGAGAACAGAGTGAGCCTTATAAACAAACCAAGTGGTTTGGGCCTTCTATAGTTTCTGGCTTTGCTCAAGCCATTAAGCGCATGCAAACAAATTTGAGCACTACTCAAAACTTCCTTTAAATGTCTTCCAATAAAACCCCTGAGAATTAAATGGCGTTAAAAAGTAGGCAACAGATCACAAAAAGTCAAAACTCTCTCCATAAGTCAATTAAAGGGGAGTATTTGTATTTAAGCTGATTCTGTTCTGTTCATGCATCAGCTTACCTGGCACAAAACCAACTCCAGTCAGATCAAGTCAAAACAGAATCATCTTCAAACACGATAAAATATATATGCATAAAGCAGAACTCCGATTCCTCTTCACTACCACTCATTTCTTGTGCTTTTCCTTGATGAACTTCCTTTATTTCTCATCTTAGTTCCCCAACAGCTTGACTACCCTAGAATTAGAAGCCCCCCCATTCTGCTGTTTCTAAAACATTCAACAATGCTCTATTATTTGCATTAAAAAAACCTCTCTTAAAAATTATCATCTTAAACCTGGGGACTACACTATAGACACTACAACATTTACCCTGAGACTACAGTGCTGAAAGCAGCACACACTGAAAGCAACATACACGGGCCAATGTCTAGGGGACCAAAGTCCATATAAGACTGCTCTTGGAAAGGGGGAGACAAACCTGGGCCCATTCATCGGCCAAAAAATGAGCAGCTGAAGGAAGTCTGATTTCCTCTCTTTCAGGAAAGAACCCTTGGTTTCAACTGCTAGCTATCTTGGGGATGAAGAAGCAAGGAGGAGGACATTTTGTTCCATTTATCAGCCAAAAAATGGGTGGCAGGAGACTAACTGCTATTCAAGAAAGAACAAGAGCAAGGGAAGATTGATCTGGTCCTCATTCAGTATAAATGTCTTCTTTTAGCGCACCATTTTGTTCTGTTCTTAAAAAAGCGAACTTCCTTCTCTACTTATCCCCACCAATTTTCTTTCTTTCTGTGTGTCTCTTCGTAAGCATAATGACAGTGACTTCTCTTTTTTTCTTATTGATGCAAGCTGTTTGTTTGGGGAGACAGTAGTTGTCTAAAAGAGTGGGACAAAACAATAAACACCTCCCAAACAGGTCAATGAGGTCTGAGCATACTTAGTGGCCATGAAATGCTAGCTAACTGTTGAGAAGGGGACAAGAGGAGGGAATGACAGATGGTTGGCACTAGCCTCAAGACAAAGAAGCACCACTTCCGCAGCTATAAACAGCACAAGACTCTAGTCACAGGAACAGGTCTACAGGCTGAAGCAGGGGGACACAAATGTTGGCTGGCCTTGCCAGACAAGCCAAGAACTGTCACTGACAAGACTCTGCTCCTCATCTTCGGTGGAAGCAAATGCAGAGAATCATAGAACTGTAAAGGTGGAATGTACCCAAGGGTCATCTAGTCCAACCCCCTGCAATGCAGGAATCTCAACTAGATCATACAGAAGATGTTTATTCAGAAATGAATTCTGTTGTGTACAATGGGATTCATCTTCAAGTAAGCAGCCTCAGCTCCTGACCTTGTGAGGCCCTGTTCTGCTCTCCAACTCCAACTTTTGGAGAAAAGGCTTTTTTTCATGATGGCCCACTGAGCCATTTGAGCATTTTGGCTGCCCAATGCAAGAACAGCCTGTCCCAACTTTCCCCAACAGAAGCAAAGGAAAAATCTAGGGCTCATTTTGGCTCTGCACAGACAAAAGATTCTGAGCACCTTGGCTACCTACTGTAGAGAAGGAATCTTTCCCATTATTTTTGAGCCCTTCAAAGCTTAACACAACTGCAGGGAAGATCCCTTCACATCACACTCATTAAAGGGTACAGGAAATACCTGTCATAGGATAGGAAGGATGAGTGTAGCATGAAGGCACATGATACAATAATGTGGACATTTCAGTAATCTGAAACTAATCCAGACTAAGACCACTCAGTGCTTAGACAAGAGGCTGCGTGGGATGCCTAGAGACAATATCTTGCCTTACAGAAGAAAGGTAGTAGTATATCAATGCAAATACTGGAAGCCAGAAAACTGTCAAACCAAGCATAGAAACTAGGTGCTTGTAATCAATTAAAAAAGCAGCTCTGGAAAATGCATATTGTGAAATCTTTTGAGAACAAAGAGGCCACAAATCTAAAAACAATTCCTCCAAACTCTACTTCTACCCAGAACTTCCACCATGCAACTCACTATAAAATAACTCAAAATCTCTTTCCCTTTTGACATGCGCAGTGTATATTGCCAATACACTTTGCTACAGAACAGCTCCGACCCGAGGCAGCCTCGCATAACAGAAGTGCCAAATACACACACAGCTGCTCCCTAACCCCCTTTGTTCGAAGTCATCCTTGCCGAGTTACATGCTACAATCTCCCAACCGCCCACAGGGTTCAAACGTCCTACGCCCGGAATGATTTCGAGGAGAAAAGCCCTAAGAAACCACAGCCTCCAACTGCCGCCTCTCGCCCAGCGTCTTCTTTATGGCTACGAGAAAATCCCGCTATGTTCACTGCGGCGTACTTGTACATAGGACTAGACACCAAATCGTGTAGGTACGAAGTTCCACTAGTTATTGGAAGTAAGTCCTATTAAACACAGTGTGACTTACTTCGAATCAACATATACCCGGCTCTACAGCTGCCGCCCTGAGCTGCATATTTGCTTAGAACTCGAAAACAAACAAAACAAAACGCACCAGGGAGACTTAACTTCCAAGTTACAATCTTTCAAGAGATTACGATTTATAAAAAAATCAACTCACAAGTTTAACCGGCTGTTTTTGTACCTGCCTTGCAGGAGCTGAACTAGAAAGCTGGCGCAAGGGCGGCATCAGCTTTCACTTCCCTACAGGAACCAGCACTTCCGCTGGGCGACTAAATCCCGCCCACACACAGCCTCTCGCTGAGCCCCTTGTGGGTCGTTCGTGCCTAGTCAACGGAAAAGAGGCATTGCGTAAGTGCAGCGAGCGGACTGCTATGCCTCCACTTGTCTCCTGCATATAATAAAAAAGATTTTTCTTTTTCTGTTGCTGTTTGCCACAAATACTCAGATGGCTTTTCAGATCTCAGGGTCTCCGCCCACCCCCACCCCATTTAGAAAAAAAGAGTGGCTCTGTTTAGGATCTTTCTTTCTTTCTTTCTTTCTTTCTTTCTTTCTTCTTCCTAGTTTTACAAAAGGTTACTGGAGTTTGAAGGCTTTGGGTGCTTCGGTTTCTGTAAAAGCAGAAAGCTTACACATGCCAAACCTAAACATTTTTGTTTTGTTTTTTATTATGTATTTTGTCTTTTTCTCTTGTACTTTTATGCTATGAACTGCCCTGAGATCTTCAGATGAAGAGCAGTGCACAAATTTAAATAATAATAATAGTGAAACTACAAATTACCAAGTACAAACAAACAGACCCATAAGCTAAAGACTCACATGGTGTGCTTATTTATAAGTCTTATGAACTTCAATAGTGGTTATTCCTAAACAAGTACAGTGGTACCTCAGGTTAAGAACTTAATTCTGTAAGCATAAAATTGCATACTTGTCTTCGGCTTCAGAAGTCAGCAGTTTTAAAGTACTGAACAGATTTTTGGTGCCACCTGCAGCATAATTCTAGAAACAACAAACACTAAAAATCATGCAATTTTCATGTGAAAAAAGGAATCACATTAAATATTAGGGTAGTTTTTCACACTAAGTACAATGCACATTTCTACAAGCTTGGCATCGACATTAGTTTGGGGGCTTATTTCATCTCTGTAAGGCAGGGCCACTGTGCAATGATAAACACTCAACACAGTACTGTACATTACATCTTGGTTTACAGCAGACTGGTTTAGCAAAAACTGGCCCTAGAAGTATTGCTCAGCATAGGTTAAAATCCCTAAGGTGATTGTGTACCCTTCTTGTTGCTTTCAGCAGAACAAAATTTAAAAGGGGTGAAGGGTTTTTAAAAAGTAAGCTGATTCTGATGTTACTTACACCCAGGTATCACTAAAGTGTTTTGAGCTGACCAGTAACATCCACTCTGAGTGAGATTCCCCCACCCCACAATTGGATGTTTCCTTGCTCTAATGAAATCTTAAAGCTGCAATCATATGCACACTTACCTGGGAGTAAATCTCACTGAACATAGTGAGTCTAGCTTCTTAGTAAACAGGCATAAGATTGTGGCATAAAATAAACATTTCTAGCCCTTTCCAATTTTGTTAGCATCTACCATTTTACAATTCCACCCTGCCTTATTTGGACTGTCATCTGATTTAACCATAATTAGTACAACAGGTGCATGCAGGAACCAGCAAAGCAGCCCAACCCTGTGCATGTTACTCACAGATAAAGTGTTCATAGACAGGTGCAGCCTAAATAATTTCTGAAGATACCTTCAGCTCTTGATCCTATTACAGTTACCACATACATATTTTCAGGATACAGCCCTTAAGATGCCTAACTAGAATTTACAGGTGTGTTCACAATTCCATCTTAGAGACAATATGTTGCTCCCCCATCACATCGTTTTGCCCCTAGCTGTTGACATCAACAGTTTAAGTGTCAGATTCATTTCTGTTTGTGTACAGACCAGTGGGCGTTGATAGGCAGGGATGTATTTACGCATGCAAACGTGTTCACAACTTAGCTGGAGATGAATTGCCTTAAAGGTTTCACTGGTGTAAAGATGGATTGAACAACAGTACAGTACTGTACATCAAACAGTAATATTTTACAAAAAAGTGTGTTTTGGACAACATGTAAGAACAGATTAAACACCCAGCACTGCACACACAAGTGCACAGTAAACGGAAGTTTGAACGCAGCCTTAGACTTTAGTCGTATACTATGAGGAGGCATAACATTGGGTACAACCAATAGCACTTGAGTTTAAGTAGTTTTAGGATTGGAGCATAAATGCTTCATGAATTACAGTACATTTAAGGATACCACTCATTTAACAAAAAATAGTGCCTAGTGGTTCAAAATATTTTCTTCCAAATCCATGTACATTGAATTGGATTGCAGGTATTCATTGTTTTGGAGTTTGGTATTTTTGCAGTTCTGTTTAAGCAGGCCCTTTCTCCTCTAGTTATATTCTGCGACAATGAACCTTCATTGGACAATAGTCCGCGAAGAGCCGTGTGGCAAATGAACTCTATCATATCTATGCCTTATGAAAGTGCAGTGCATATTCTACCATTTTGCACACCAGCCGGAGTGAAAAAAACGTACCAACAAAACCCCGCTCTATGTATTTCCATTCAGGACTGAGCCTGAGCCTGCAATCCTAACCTACCTGGGAGTAAGCCCCATTGAATTCAACAGGGCTTACTTCTCAGTAGGCACGGTTAGGATTGCGCCGGCAGCCTCGTTCAGCGGTAGCAAGAACCGCAGAGCCCCATCTAGCGAAACATCGCCTCCTTCTAAACCTCCCGCCTCTTGCGCTCCCCAGCCAATCGCGGAGCCGGATCGCAAGCAGCCCGTTCGTACCTGCACATTCGACGCGCGCGGAAGCGCGGCTCGCTGGGCAGCCTCCTCCAAAGTGGGCGGCGACTGCGGTCAGGAAGTCATTGGCCCACTGCGCTCCGCCTCCTTCCCGGCAAATATCCCCTTTTGCCCCAGAGCGACGAATCTGCGGGGGCTCGTCTCGTCACTAGCTCAGTTTAGGCGGTTGTCAGGGAGAAGCAAGATGGCGACCGCGACGGAGGAAGACACGGAGCTGAGGGATCTCCTCGTGCAGACGCTGGAGACGAGCGGGGTGCTGAATAAAATCAAGGTGAGGAGCTGGCGGGGAGCGGGACGGAGGCTTTATGGGATGGAGGGGAGCGCCTCAGAAGTGCGTCGGCGTATGCCCGCCTGACGCCGGGAGAGGCGTGCTGTGCGTGGAGGTGCTGGTGGCGCGGCCCTCGCGAGAGAGCGGGTCTACACCAACGGCGCTAACGGACTCCCAACTGTCATTCCCGCCCTCTGGACAATGCCGCCTAGGCATAAGTGTCGCGCGCTGCCTTTTGCTTCGTGGCGCATGCGTGGAACTCCTCCTGAAGTAATAAGAGGGTTGGTTGGTGGTCAGGAGAACATAACGGAGAGACTTCCTGCCCCGGAACAAAGGCCTGTCCCGCAGTGGCCAGCCAGGTGCTCCTGAGAAGTCCATAAAGCAGGACGTGGGAACTTTCTTTCCTGCTGTTGCTCCCCAGCATCTGGTATCCAGAGGCATACTATTTTCGGATTTCTCGATTGATAGCCTTAGTTCCAGTCTCCTCTTTACCAGGCTAAACATGCCCAGCTCCCTCAATCATTCCTCATAAGGCTTCGTTTCCAGACCTTTAATCATCTTGGTTGCCCTCCTCTGCACACACATTCCAGCTTGTCAATATCCTTCTTAAATTGTGCCAGTTCACTCATTGGGGAGTTCCTTTTGGAGCTCCTCCCAGTCCCTCTTTGGTTTTGCTACCCTATCTCTAGATAAGCTATGACCACCACAGTGCACTTTTCTAAACTTGCACTGTAGGTTTTAAAGACAAAAAACTGACTCTTTAAATTGATCTGAGGTCGACACCTACACTTCATAAGCTGCATTTAAAGCTCAAGTTGAGCATACACTGACCCTGAAATGAAGGCTGAAGCCATACTTCTGTTTGTTGATTGACTTTTTCACTTTAGCTTGGTCTGTGTTTTCGTTCTTTACAGTGTAGAAGTAGGAGGGATCACTGATATTTAATACATAGTTGTTAGAATGTTTACTGTCAGACAGGCAGCATAGACAGTTACATGACATATATTAGCTAGAATGTATAGCATTTCCCCAAGACACGGGATATATGCTTTCCAATGGCCTTTTGGCATTGTTATTTGGAGTTTGACCACTTCTCTCATTCTTTGGGATTACACACACATTACCCTCCAAGAAAAAGGTTTATAGATCTTTGTTCTACAATGATAAGTTAGCACAGTCATTTACTTGGGTTCATTTTTCAGAAGCAGATGCAATGTGTGGCAGAGTCTCACCTTGCAGCATGAGTTCACTGATTCTTAAATAGTTGGGTAATTTGCTGTGTAGAGAGGGTAGGCATGAAGTGAATGTCCCTAGATGGAGTAGGAGAGAAGGGGTGTAGGATTTGAATTATGGATGAGAATGTGTCAGTAGAAAATGAAGACCCCCAACAGATGGAGCCTGAAGAAAGGAAACCAATCCCATGGGTTAAAAAACTTTATTTTTTGCCAATTATTTTTATTGATTTTCTAAATTTCAACCCAATCTTCATAAATTATACCAAATCAATACAATTTTGATTAAATGACTTCCCCACTTGCCTTTGTTGATGTGACCTTAGCTTCTAATATTACCGTGTTAAGTATTTTACTTAAATTATCTCCAGTTACAATCCATTACCCAAAATTATCCCTTGTCAGCTGTATTTTTAGCCATTTCCAGTTGTGTTGAAACATTATTTAAAGCATTTACATACTTTTGTAAAACTTCAAGTGAGAATATAATACCATATTTTTTGCTCTATAAGACTCACTTTTTCCCTCCTAAAAAGTAAGGGAAATGTGTGTGCGTCTTATGGAGTGAATGCAGGCTGCTTGGCTATCCCAGAAGCCAGAACAGCAAGAGGGATTGCTGCTTTCACTGAGCAGCAATCCCTCTTGCTGGACTGGCTTCTGAGATTCAGAATATTTTTTTTCTTGTTTTCTTCCTCCAAAAACTAGGTGCGTCTTGTGGTCTGGTGCGTCTTATAGAGCGAAAAATACGGTACTTCATTCTGTGTATGAATTTTAAATACACATAAGCAGGATATCCTAAATGTTTTTTTCTTCTTGGTTTTATGTTTCTAATTGATTTGATTACATATTTGTATTTCACTTTTCCAACAACAAATGCTGAACTCAAAGCAGCTCATAATAATCACAATAGTATTAAAAAACCACATTGCAATCACTATATCAAACACAATAGCATCTAAATAAAGCAAACAACAGCTCTTTGTGGAGTTTGTTGTCTGTTTGTATGTTGCTTTGGGTTGCCCTGGGCAAGATAAAGCAACTAACAAATTAAATTAATAAAATAATGATATTGCTCCAAGTTCTAAACTGGCCACTTTTTACAAAGTGCAAAGGGTAAGTAAATAGAAAATCTGTGTCCCTAGACCCTTTCATGAGTATTGCAGGTTGACTTGAACACTTGAAGTGACATTCATATGGCTTAAGTGCTGCTATGTGGTTTTCTGTGTTGTAGTTTAAATGATGGAGATACTGTATCCCTAACCATACTTCTGTGTGAACAATGTTTCTGTGTGTAGTAATAAATTGGACCCTTTTGTGTGAGGTTTGTCTTGGTATCTAGTTTTCTCAATATATAGTTGCAAAATGCTATACATTTATACAAATGCTGGCTCTCTGTTACAGGCAGAATTGCGAGCAGCTGTATTTTTAGCACTAGAAGAGCAAGAGAAAGTAGAGGTAAGGAGCTGCCAAAACAACTTTTCATTTCATATAGATGTAAAAAAGCATTAAGAAGCATAATAGAATCCTGTGTGACCTCACAACACAAGTTTTAGGGAGTCGAACAAGTGTCCCTCATTGCTATCCTTGGAAGCCAGCCTTCAGGTAGAAGTAGAATCACTGAGCTATTGCAGTTTGTGTTACACCTATGTCTTGGCTTGTGGGTCTTATTTGTTCAAGCATCCCAAAGTCTAACCAACTGTTTCTGTCTCCCAAAGTAGACAGTATAGTTTGAGATGCTGAACTCTAGGGCTACTGCTGCAAATTGAAAGAAGGAGGGGGAAACACTGTGTGCTTTCTGCTTACTTTAAAGTCTACAGTTGATGGAAGCCAAAGGCTCCAGAAATAACAGGGTGTTGTTTCCCTAGCCTTTGGCATCATCAAGTAGGTAAAGAATGAGTCAACAGTAAATAAAATGGTGCTGCTGCCGCCAACTTACTTCCAGAACTGAAATTTCAAACTTTGTGTATTGTTGCACAAAACATAGCGTTGGTTATTATTTAATGTTTATCCTGCTCTTTTCTTCCTAGAATACCCAAGTTCAGCTTTGTTTGGGCATTCAAAATTAATCACTGCCAAATTCTGGTACTGTTTGATATAGGCGTGGCTTCACCATGAGGATGCATAAGCATTCATGTATATATAGATAATTGTTATCTACCTGTTTTATATCTCTGTCTGTAATCGTTAATTGTTCTTCTCATTTTTTGACAGAACAAAACACCTCTGGTAAATGAAAGTTTGAAAAAGTTTTTAAATACAAAAGATGGTAAGCTCTGTCCCTGCTAGTTAAAGATACCATATATATTTCCCAATTAATGTGTGGACACTGATGCAGATCAGTGAGGGAGTTTCTGTGGTTCTTTGGTGATGTAAACAGGCTTAAATCACAACAGGAGATATCATTACAGTACTGTTCAAAGATGGCTCACTGCAGTGGAAAGTACAGCAAACAGGGGTTAGCCTGCCCTTCCATAGATAAAAGCAAGCCATAGACAATTTCTGGTTAGTTCAGAGCAAGGTTCACTAATGTAGAAGGCAGAGCATTCTGCAGTCTGTTGTCCAGGGAGTTATATAAGGCCTCATCTACAGCTGATGCCACTGGAGCTAACTGATGTTCTTACTTGCTTACCTTCTGTTTTTTCTCTGCCCTTTTTATAATCCCCTGCTTTTTTCTTTATACTAGAATTTTCCCAAACAAGGGCTTCTCCAAATTCTGTTAACTTTGCATCATCCCTCTTAATTTAGTTCAAATTCCATCTTGTCAGCATTTGGTTGACAGAATCTGCAAATTCTACACTTTGCTATACTTTTGTTGGCTGCAAGTATAAGCATAAAACTTCAAGCAGTTTCAGAGTGAAAGTTTTGCTCGTGCCAGACCTTTGAATTATAAAACTGGAGGAAGGAAAACTAAATAGGAATTTGTAAGTGGATTAAAAGCTGTACTTGGACCCGGTTCTTTTCTGTATGTTATTGAGCAAATCATTCTTGCTTCTGCCTATGTAAAATAGGAATAGTAAACTATCAGGATTGTTGTATTGTGTAAAGAACACAAAGATTGTAAAATATTTTGAAGATTTAAAAGGCTTAATAAATCCTTTATTCATAATAAAACCCAAACTCAAGTGAATGACATAGCTTTACAGTTAAAGTTCAGTCTCAGCAACCTCAGTGGAAACAAGAATGCATTTCATATTTAAATGTAGGTTATTGCAAGTTTGCAGAGTGATTATTTGCCACACTTGGGAAATGGATGTTTCCGGGGAAATGTTCTCAGTTGAATTGCTAACCAATAATTGCTAGGGTTTTAGGCCTGAAGTAACTTGGAATTTACAGAAGTGTGTGTGTCCGAAATAAGACATTAGTTTCTAGAAGATGTAAAATGGGTGGGGAACTGAATCTAGCCTACAGATCAGATCCCTGATTGCCCCACACACAACCCATGGGTCAACTTTGATAAGTGCGCAGGACCTAAAATCTAAACTCTTTAAGCATTTAGGAACTTGTATATGACATCAAGTGTGAGGCAGGTGGGTCCGGTTTGTGGGGAACTGCCTTAAAGGCCAAATTTAGACCCATACTGGGCCACATTAGACCCATGGGTCAGAGGTTCCCCACTGCTGGTGTAAAGGGAAGTCCTCCCTGTCTTTGTAGCCCTTCATAAAGGAGTGTTTCAGAGTATATGACTTACATAGTACTAGCCCTTCCTCCACCTATTTCTCCATTCTTCCTATTTTCCCGTTCTCAAGTGTAGTATCACTACTACTGGATCTTCCTTTCCTTGTCTACCTTCAAAATAACCATTCAATGAAAAGGGTTCCCTTGCCTACAATTTCCTTACTGTTCCCCTGTCCCTGCCCAGCCTCAGTACATTTAGGTTTTAATTTTGAATGCCAGTTTGTTTGGGAGCAATTTTTAAAGAAATCCAATGAAATATAGGAAGACTTGTTTATTTACAAACAAATTCATTATTGAATGCCCAAAGCATTTTTTCACTATATCATACCTGTTTTGTAAACAGTAGCACTTAACTCACATTTCAACTGAAAACGTTAATAGTGAGTGCAAATGCTGTATGGGAAAACCAAATGTGGCTCATTTCTTTTTGTAGGTCGATTGGTGGCTAGTCTGGTTGCTGAATTTCTTCAATTCTTCAACCTTGATTTTACTTTGGCTGTCTTTCAGCCTGAATCAAGCACAGTAAGTAAGCATTTTAATCATTATAACAACACATTAGAGAATAACACATTATATTCATTTTAATTCTTATAACAACACATAATATAATAACACATTTAATCATTATAATAACACATTATAACACAGTAATTTAACCAAAATGCTTGAAATTGTCCCATCCTCAATTTTGTCCCCAATTTCATTTTTCTGCATCATCTCTCCAGTTCATTAGCATGTTTACTTAGGAGTAGACATTGCACACAGTGGGGCTTACTTCTGATTTGACATGCATAAGACTGCAGTGCTAATCTCCCCCTCCCCCCAAAATACAATGGAACACTGTTTAAACCTTTGGTTCTGCTTTTGAATAAATGGGGGGAAGATATTAATAACTTTAACTTGAATGTCATGCTCATGCACTTTAGGGACAATTTCTTTTTCTGTCAGTCAACTGTCAAATCTTGAATTTGAGAAAGAACAATTGTGTAAAATATATTGTGTTAATGGCCTGGAATGCTTTATGCTTATTTTTAGTTAAATGGGCTTGAGGCTCGAGAGAATTTAGCACGGGACTTGGGAATTATAGAAGCTAAAGCTACAAAAGAAGGGCCCTTACTGCTGGAAGTGATCAGAAGATGCCAGCAGAAGAAGGGAGTGTCTAACTTTGGAGAGGTAAGGATTTTGAAAATGTGTAGTATTTTAGTCATACTAACTTTTTTAATAAACTGTTTATCTTGATGTAGGCATGCTAAACAAACTATGACAAGCAAATTAAATGTTTAAATTTTGGTGTGTTTAAAATTGTTTATTTTCTATTCTAAAACTATTATTTAGGTAGCTCCTGTAATATCTGATGGTGTACATTCTCCTCCAAAATCATCAGATGGAAGATCTAACATACACTCATTGCCAAGTAAGGTAAGTCAGAATACTGGAATTAAGCTTAATATTATTTGAGAAGCACATTTTCAAATTTCAATTTTTCCTCTGTTCATTCTTGCCTATCAAGTCTTTCATTTTGTTAATAGACCCTGTTTGACTTTCTAAACAGGAAGTAAGATATCGGGGAATGATAAAGGCAGATAATTGTTTAATGAAATAAAACCATAATCTGATGGGATGCAGGTATAAATTAGAAAGAAGTTGGAATGTGATATTATAAAACTAGAATGACAATGTGTGATGTGCAATTTTTGTTGCTACTTCATTTGAGAAGCAGAGCATGAATAGCTGAAAAGTTGTACTGCTTTTCTCCCGCACTCCTGCTGCTATGCTGTAGATAAACAAGCCAAAGTCTGGATGGCCATGTGATTCATATCCAGGCATGTGGTTTAACTGAAGGAAACAAAAGGTTACAAGTGTAACCAAAGTTTGTGCTTGGCTTATTGTTCATGGTTTGTTTGGTGAAAACCAACCACAAGCACAGGTTCAGCTGATATAACAATCAAGGCTCTAGCTTTTATCTATGCTAGGAGAGAGAAGGAGCGCTGCGGAAACTTTTGTTTTAAATTGTGGTTTAATGTGATGTGCAAACTAGGCCATTGAAATTTAATGTGGGGGGCAGCCTGTACCAGCTTTGTTTACTTAAGGTTGCTTGCCTGATTTGAATATTGTGGATTTATTGAGTTACCTGTATTTACCTTGATACATAATAAATTGTACAAGCCTGCACTAACAAGAGTTTGGCATACTTCCTGGGGAAATTAGTTTTGTAGACCATATGGACCATATGTGACTTGTTTATTTTCATATTTGTTCTTGTTTGTTCCTTGTATCAGATAAGGAAGTGTTGTTTAGTAGTGTTGATTTTTTATTTTTCCTAATATCAAATTACAACTTAAACAAAAGAACCGTGGTGGCAGCAAGTTTGATTTTGTAAAGGCTTGTATCAGTGTTGCTCTACGTAACCTTGGTTGTAGGAGCAAACAGATTTAATGAGATACATGTCTGCGGGTAGAAGACTAACTGTTGTTGATTGGCTTTGAATATGGGGAGCCTCAAAAGAAGCAATCTCTATTTAGAAACTTATATTTCCTAAGGAGTATGCCAATACAAAAAAGGAGGTATTGACTATCCATCAATATTAAGAAGAAATTTCACCCTTGATTAAAGCTTTACATTGTTAGAAGAGTTACTGAGAAATTCTTTGCAACCTCTTTGCTTTTCTGTTTTCTACCTTGTCCCAAGAGACTCATGTTTCTTATCCAGATTCTTGCTTATTTTAATAAAGACTGAATAAAGAATGCTATACATAGAGAAGTACTGGACAGAGGTAAACTAACTGAAAGAATAGTGACTCCATGAATACCAGTTGCTAGAAGCCTCGTACTTCCCTTAGGCATCTGGTTGACCACTATGAGAGCAGGATACTGGATTAGGTGGCTTGATGGCTCTTTACCCATCTAAGTCCACCATTCTATTTCCAGAGGCCAGGTGCTTGGTTCTTGATCTGCTGGAGAAAGTATTTAAGTACAAATGAGGATTCTTCCACCTCTCTTTGGGGAGTGTTGGGGTTGCAAGAGAAAATACCAGCGGGCAATAAGATGATCAGGTCATAGAAATCATCTGTTTTGTAGGTGACAATAAAAAACTGGCATGAACTGGTAAGACATCTGCTGGTGTTGCTGTGGAACAGAGAAAATCCTCTTACCAGCTAAACAGTTGCTGTAGCTGTGGTTAAAAGAGAGAGATTATGTATTCAGTGTAGCTATTATTGCTAGTGATGTGATGGTGAAGAGCAAAAGGTACCTTTGTTTTAGCATGAATGAGCTGCTTGTAGGGCAGAGAACAGAGATGACTTTGTCTATTTGTAGAAACAACATTACAGAGAGAACTTCTGCCACTTACTTCATCAGTGAAGTAGAGCCCTGTAAACCCAACCACACTCTGATGTGTTGAACAGTAACGTGTGCCTTCCTGTAAGTTAATGTTGTTTTATGTCACACAGCATCAATAACATTTTCCACCATGTATGCATGTATCAGAAAGCTGTTGCCAATCCTGACTCCCTAGTGCAATGCATTGTTTAATGTTTCTGTTTGCATACATTACAACATTGGAAAGTACATGTTAACAATTTGTCATGCAGCCCAAAGTCTTTGTTAATTTCTTGGAACGCTTAAAGTAGCAGCTGTTTGTTCTAGCTTTGGAGAGTTCCTTTTATGGGTTTCATTACCTGGATTGTTCCCACAGCATCATTTCATATGAATCTTCCTTTATTGGGGGCAAGAGGGGATAAGCTGGATGAATTGGTCCTTTCTTAAATCTAGGTGAAAACTGTTCTCCGCACAATGCCTTGTGTAATCCAAAGTTAAAATCTTGACAATACCTGTTTTCTTTTTTAAAGGCAGTTTGTTGAAGAGTAAATATTGAAAGCAAGGTGGCAGTATATTCACAAAAATGCACTCCAATTGTTTTTCCCAAGTTACTTTTTTAAGGTTTCTAAATGTTTATAGCTAATAATACAGAACTTACTTCCAGTGCTTTGCTAATCATTTGGGATCACAAGAACTATTAAACTTCAATGTGCTAGTAATGTTTTTCTGAAGATAAAATGTTTTAGTGTTGTTTTGTGAGGACACTGTTGTGGATAGTTGTAAGAAGATTCTTTTGAATCTTGTAAGAAGATTACAATTGATGGCTACCTTTTGTTAGGCTGCTGGGCAATACTAAAGTGTTTGTTTTTGTTTGTGTGTTTTAAATGATGTATTTCTGAACACTGCTAAAAATGACTGATGGTCAAAAGGAGACTCACAATGGTACTGTCTGTGTTGAGAAACTGGAATATGATTTTGATGTCACATGCTAGAACTTTGTGGTTTGCTAAATTATACTAGTTTAAAACTATTTTAACTGGCATGACTTCCCACAATGAACAATGAAAATGTTTTGTTCAAGGTGTATAAGTAATAATTGTAAAATCTGCATACTGGCTGTGGTCTCATTTAAGGTTTCAGTCTGAGTCTTTAAGCACAAGTTGCACATCTGTGAACAGAATTCTGTACATAGCAGCAGAGGTTACATGACTCAAGGCATTTGAATCCTACCAAGTGCTTACAGTCTTCCTAGTAGATAAATAAATTGTCCTGTATAGAGATGTAAAGCAACCAATTTGTTGTCCTCAGGGGGAAATTGAAGTAGTAATACTTCCTTATCAAACCTACATATATTTTATTACTTTTCACAACAAAATTTCACCTTTTATAACTTAGCATATAAAATTGTACTCTTTGGCATTTTTATGGAACTTGCAAACTAATGCAATGCTCATTTACTCTTATGTAAAACCCACTCTTTGATTAGTGTAGCTTACAGCATCAAAAGTATAAATGCCCTAATTTTATGCAAGCAAAATGGTGAATGAACCCAGTACTCAAGAAAGAGAACTGCACCGTATGCTACCTAAACAGTGTGCACAGAACTTTTGCCATCTGAAAAATAAATAAACATTGAAAATAGAACCACAAATATTGTTGTAAACAGCATATACAAAATGGTTTCATACAATCACAGTATTACAATCTCTTAGTTTATTTGGATACTGAGTTAAGCAATACATAGCACATTTGAATGTTTATAGGTACAGTATACACAAGTATTCTCTAATTATTTAGATTATTTTACGTAAATCTTCATAGTGCACATCTTTTGTAAATTAAACCTGTATTAAAGCATTTCACTCATTCCAAAATTTCAGGAGAGCTTTTCAGAGTTTCCCAAAATTTCCAATTTTTCTTTCCCTGTGACCCAGGCTTTCATATCTCTGATCTTTTATCTAGGAGGTAGACTAGGTAATGAAATGCTGTAGAAAACGCATCTCTCTTAAAAGGAGAAATGGTAGCTGCTGTCCAGTAACACTGGATGTATTTCCTGTACTATTCCAAAAAGTATATCCAAGTATAGAGGACATACTCAAAATAGTTGTTTCACTTCCAAATATGAATGCTAAAATTTTACATGTGTGCTGGGGCACTGTAAGCAAAGCGTGGTGGAACACAGAATTTTTTCCTGTGGCAAGAAACTGGAAAGAAAATTTTGTAGATTATAATGCTTATGAAATTTATCAGACTCATTCATCACATCTCTTACCATATTTCATTTGAAGCATGTGATTATTTTTAAATAGGTGGGAGGTGACAGCTCATGAAGTAATCTACTGGTCAAGCAGAGAGAGAATGTTGATTAGTAGGCAAGGCTTTTAATCAGGTTTTTAGAGTGATAGCATAGATCTAACTCAATAATCTAGATTTCGCATAGCATAACCCACATATAATTTGTTTTCATTTTTGTGCCGTTATTTTATTCTTGTGCTCAGATACCAAGGTATAAAGGACATCGTAAACAGAAAAGGTGCTTGGACACAACTGAGCAGGTAAAATGCATGAGGAGAAGAAACTGACAGGTGCTTCTGGTTCTACCTTTAAGAAAGAGCAGCTTGCACTAAAAATCATTGCAACTGACTCATGGCATTTGGTAAACTAACTCCACAAATATGTAGATGTAACACAGACCTTGAGGCACAATATTAATTACATTATGTAAATTTAATGCAAAGCTTATTAATAAGCTTTACCTATATTTATGGAGCGGCTGCTTGCTTGCCTGCCCTCCTTCCTGCATTTTATGACTCTCCATGCGGTTTTTGTATCAAAAGGTCACATCTTTGGATTCCAAAACTTTAACAATTAGGTATCTTGACACAATTTCATTCAGTAATGTTACTGTATATTGTTAGTTCTTGGTTAACTGAAGGCCAGTTCACACATTAACTCATGAAATTAAACCCTTTCCTACCCACTTGGAATTCTGAATGTTTCTACACACCAAATATTACTTTAAAATTTGAAGCGTTTGTCTGACCTTCACTTTGCTGAGGATAGAGGACCCGATAATTTCCCCCCATCAAAGTGAGAGGCAGGCAAGCAGCTATCTAACTTTCCCTGCATAAAGGGAGAACCTTTAGGATTCCAACCAGGCAGAGCAGGGCTGACTTACATGTGGTTGCTCATTAAACATAGTGTGTACTGGTGCTGAGATAATGGAGTATATCTTGGATAATCCTGAGTGAATTACTTTATCTGAAACATTTCAATTTGGCTGTTAGGATGTTTGGACCTGTCCCTTATACAAAAACAGCTTTGTGGCAGAGTTGCAATTAAGATTTCAGGGAATAGCCACCCATTTCCTGTTTCACTTACTTGAATACAGTACTGCTGCTCCTCTGCTCCACCCCCAACCTTGTGCATCTTTTGAAAGCCAGTCCAGAAGGCATGAAGAGAGCTAGGAAGGGATGCTTTTGGTGGTTTGCTGTTTTTCCTATGAGGTATCTATCATATTAGAGGGACGCGGGTGGCGCTGTGGGTAAAACCTCAGTGCCTATGGCTTGCCGATCGCATAGTCGGCGGTTTGAATCCCCGCGGCGGGATGAGCTCCCGTCGTTCAGTCCCAGCACCTGCCCACCTAGCAGTTCGAAAGCACCCTTAAGTGCAAGTAGATAAATAGGTACCGCTTTATAGCGGGAAGGTAAACGGCGTTTCCGTGTGCTGCTCTGGTGCCGGTTCGCCAGAGCAGCTTCGTCACACTGGCCACGTGACCCGGAAGTGTCTCCGGACAGCGCTGGCCCCCGGCCTCTTAAGTGAGATGGGCGCACAACCCTAGAGTCGGACACGACTGGCCCGTACGGGCAGGGGTACCTTTACCTTTACTTATCTATCATATTCCCTTCCTTACCCTGTCCTGAAGGAATGGAGAAGGCAAAGACTACACCTTCAAGTAGTGTATTTTATTATTTATTTATTTATTTATTTGCATATAAAGTCTATAAGCCTTCCTGTAACAGAAGCTATTGGGAGATTAACAAGATAAAAAAGGAACACAGTTACAATTGAAATGTGGTAAAAAGCAGATAATAAAAACAGGTATCAAGGCTAAGGACAGATCACACCAAAATAGAAAGCAGAGAATCAAAAACTGGAGCACTAAATCATATAAAACAAAGGGATAAAGTCTACAAGATACCAGCAAAGTATCTCTCTAGGGAGACCGTACAACTATCATGGGGCTACTAGCAAAAAACGTATTTTCACGCATAGCTACTACCTATACCTCAATTGGCAGAGTCACTTAGAGCAGGCCTTGGGTTATGAACTGAGGTTCCAGTGCGTGCATATAGGAAAATACCATAAGGTTCTTTGAAGGCCGAGTAATGGATGACTGCACTTGACCTTTAGTTCTTTTTGAAACACTTTACTGCCATTGGTCATAAGATGGTTTGAGGGCTAGCAGGCATTTGTGGGATTACTTTTTTTAAAGTGTTTCAGCATTATTCTATTCTGAAAGCAGCTTTTACTTTCAGCTGGTCACATCTGCACTGTAATGTAAAGCACATGGCTTCCTCCAAAGAATTGTGGGAACTGAAGTTTACCCACATGCAGACACACTCATACACAGAAAACCCTTATCAAACTACAGTTCCCAAGATTCTTTGAGGAAAGCCATGTGCTTTAAATGCATGGGGTGGATGTGACCTAACTCTGAACCAGCTTCACTGGTGTGTATTCAGAATGAAACTAGACAGTCCCCAGCTTTGTCTTTGCCTCCTATTGTGTGAATGCTGATGGGGTGCCGGGGGACATTTGCATGTATGCAGCGATGTTTAACCTTTCTTCCACGCTGTGATGCTTTTCTATTTTTTATTAGTTTCTAATTTGTTCTTAAGATTATATTTCCCTGGATTCATTATGTCACCTCCACTATTCTAGAGGCTTCCTTGAGCAGTTTTTAATGAAAAGGCAAGATAGAAATATTTTAATAAATTTATCAGTTGGACAGATAAGCAGAGGAAACTGCTTTATACTGAGGCTGACAATTGGTACTCCCAGCAGAGTACAACTTACACTGTGTAGCAGTGGCTGTCCAGAATTTCAATCGGGGTTTTTTCTAAACCCTACCTGAATATGCTGGGGATGGAACCTGGAATATTTTGCATGCAAAGTACATGCTCTAGCACTGAGCTGTGGCCACTGCCTTCTCATTTGCAACCTTTTTCAGTGGCCATTTTCCCCTTATTGCCAGATCAAAGATAAAAAATAGGCCCCCAGCTGAAGAATTGGGTAGGAATGATAGGTGGGGGAAAGGAAAAGGTTAAGCACTCCTACCCTCTGATACTGCACTAAAACCCACCTTAACCCCCTCCTCAATATTGCTATAACTATATACCAGGTGTTTGAGGAATGATGTGCCTACCTGTTTGCATTGCATAGTTTTTTTCAGCCTGTAAATCTTTATCAAAGGACAAGGGTTTGGGTATCATCCTTCTAGGATGCTGCTACTGAGAAGTGGTAATAGTAATGCTTAGTATTTGTATACCACATTTTAAATGTTCAGAATAGTTTTTAAATCATTCATCCAAAGTTGTAATTTGTTTGATTATATGGAAATTTGCATTAGTCAGCCTTCAAAATCTAGATGAAATTTCTAGATGAGCGGGGTAATGGTAATTTACTCCTAAAACTACTAAATTGGTTTCAGAACTGGTTACAATGAAACTGACATAAATGCTTAACTATAAAATTATCAGATTACTAATACACAAATTCTATTCTAAAAAAATTGTAGCTTTGATGAATTGTGAGAGCCCGAAGAAGAGTTTTTGATACCACACCTTTTAAATTTTTAACTCTAGTACTGTATATGTTTTATATTGGGGTAAGGGACCTGAATTTAAAAGTAATCACTGACACTCATTATGCAGATATTGTTGGCATCTGTCTGTCTTGGGAAGAGTGTGCCTTTGGGAGTAAAGTCAAACCGTTGGAGAGTTAGCTGCTGTGGCTGTAGAGAACAATACAGTAGAGACATATTTTATTACAGGTGGGGCAGATGGGTTTTGGTGCTATAGGTGTGCCATGGCATTTCTTCCCTCTGCTTCTCAAAGTGGTCATTCCTCCTCTGGTCACTACTATGGCTACATGACCTGACTGTCTCCATGCACTACAATTGTCTGCAAGGGATTCCCATACCAGCCTTCATGTCATATTTGCAGACATCTTTTTAACACAGAATTGGTCTGCCAGCAGGCCTAGTGCTCCCTGCTATCTTCCATTCTGTGTACATGACCAAACCAGTGTAGATGTCACAGAGACAGGGTTGCAAACATGCTGGGAATGTGGGCTTCGGAGAGCACATCTTTTTTTGACATTTTGTTTTGCTATGTGATGCTGGAAATCTGCCTGACGCAGCACAAATGGAAGGCATTGAGGCATCGCTCCTGGCGGGTGAAAGTTGCCCATGACTCACTTCCATAAAACAGTGTACTCAGTACAGAAGTCTGGTAGACCTTCATCTTGGTATTGGTTGTTAGCATCACATTTTCCCATACCCTTTTGGAGAGGTGAACCATTGCTGTAGCTGCCTTGCCAATATGATTGTCCAGCTCAACATCGATTGAAAGGTTGCTGGTTATGGTGAAGCCCAGTCTACCACCTCAAGCATATGGCTGTCTATGCTGATGTGTGGAGTGCTGGCTTGGAATGCTGGCAATGACCTGACCCATCAGGCTGATAATGAGGTGGAACTCCATGCAGGCTTGGGCAAAATGGTTGGTGCAGATGTGGAAATAAAATTTACCAGTCTTATGAATGAAAAATGATACTGCTGTTTTATTGAGTACTGCATTTTATTTATTTTGCTTCTATTAATCTGGTAATTTTAGGTTGTAGTCCTACATCTATTTAACCTGGGATTTAATTCCATTGAAGTCGTTGGGCTTTAGGATGGTATTTAATACTTCTTCTAGATAATATTTTTATGTTGCCTTGGATGCTCATGCAGTGTAAGGGTTATATATCCCATATAAAATGAAGCTGCCAAGTAAGTGTGTTTTAGGATTATATTGTAAAATTGATTTGGGGCTCAAGTGAGTAGCAAACATCTCAAAAGTTAATAACTAACTGTTACAGGTTAATAACTATAATAACTCATTAACTTTTTATGGTTTTATTATATGGCATTATTGCTATAAACATACTTTGATTTTTTTTTTATGCTACAGTGGAATACACATATTAAAAAAATAAATAAATGGGAAACCTTTATCTTTTAAACTTCTTTCTTTACAAGATTGTGAAACTGGCATTTCTGTCTACACATTGCAATCAATTTAACAGATAATTGAAAAACTGTTGAAGTGACATTGTGCCTACATGACTATTGATGTACTACTGTATGTTCTTTTTTTGTATACAAAAATGGATTATAGCTCAAGGGAAGCAAATTATATGACTTGTTTAAGGAAATGGTTTGTTTGTTTTTTTAGGTTACTGGAACAAGTCATAGTGATACAAGCATCTTGTCTGGAGAAGCAAAGAGCAAAGGCAGCATTCACTCCTTACCCAATGAAACAAAACTAATTTCTCAACCAAACAAAGATGTAGATACCAAAGAAAAGAATAATCTCGCAGTAGGAGAAGATGATGCAGAGGGAGATTCCTTCTTTGATGATCCCATACCAAAACCAGAACAAAGTTATGACTGGTAAATTGAATGAACTACAACTATAAATGTTTCCTTTAGACAACAAAATAGTTAGACGTTTTAGGCTGGAGGATGCTGCACTTTTCTACCTTAGAATAAATAAATGAGAGGGTTCATGTTTTGCACAAAATGTAGAAGAACAGTTTGTTGCAGTGCCCATAGATTGCCCTTGTGTTTCCCCCATTTACAGAAATCGCTTTTTTCAAAAATAAGAAAATATATTTCCTACTTGACAATAGAACCCTGTAATTCAGAAATATTTTCCTTGAGGCAAGTGGAAAAATTGTAACAACCAAATGGTTGTTATTGCATACTACTTTATACAGGTTCAAGGAATAATCAACTCTGGTGCCATGTCAACTCAGATCTGCTTCTTCTGAAGAAAATTTTACTTGAATTCAAAATCATAACATGGTTGATACAGTTTATATTTATATTTACACCTGAATCTCTTCCTCTGGGTTATGTTGATAAAACATCACATGACATAAACAGTTACACTGAAGAGGCTTTGAAATAGGTGAGAATGTGTGCAGAGCTTTTCTTGCCATATCTGGCATTAAGAGCCATCATTCATGACTCAGTTTGAAGCAGTTAAAAATGATGTATCTCTCCCCCTTCCCTCCTTTTTAAAGGAATAATGACTCTATCAAGGAAGGAAATGCTTCTCTTTCTGATGTACCACCTATAAAGACTGGTCTGAGCTCTTTGTCTGGAGCACCTCCTCTAAAAAAGTCTGACAGTAAGTTGTTGAGTGAGAAATTACACTCCCTTGCTCTAAATATTATAATAATCTTGCATTACAAGAGCATACCTTCACTTAGCTTTGTGCTAGATCATTACCATTCTGGTGTTGTTGTAAACAGTTTAAAGTTATTATTTTGCACCAGAAAAAGAGGATAGGTACCTAGCTGTGAGAAATGCTGTGCAACCAGGACTAGTTGGCAATAGTGATGTGGTGTTCTTGTGCATTGCTGGGTTGCAGCACGTTACTCCCGACAACCAGTTCAGATGCTATAAAGCTAACCTGTGGACTTGCAGAAATTGTTGAATTCCAATCCCATCAACTAGCATAGCCAGTGGTCAAGAATGATGGGAAATGCAGTGCAGTAACACCTGGAAGGCCACAGGCTAGTCACCCATTCTGTATAGAATCCATTCAAATTTCTGCATCCCCCACTGTTCTTGTACATAGGTTCTAATTTACAGTGGTGCCTTGCAAGACGAAATTAATCCGTTCCGCGAGTCTCTTCGTCTTACGGTTTTTTCGTCTTGCGAAGCACGGCTATTAGCGGCTTAGCGGCTATTAACGGCTTAGCGGCTTTAAGAAAAAGGAAACAAACTCGCAAGAACTCACAAGATGTTTCGTGTTGCGAAGCAAGCCCATAGGGAAATCCGTCTTGCGGAACGACTCAAAAAACGGAAAACCCTTTCGTCTAGCGAGTTTTTCGTCTTGCGAGGCATTCGTCTTGCGGGGCACCACTGTATATAACATGCATCTTTCTTTTATATGATCTGCTGACTATTATAATGGACCCAAAGCAGATTACATTTTTTAAAAAGAATCTGTTCAATCAGCAAAACAATTAAATAACATCTTAGGCACATTTTCATTCTATATTTCTTGGATAGCTATCAGTTTTCAGGTGCAACAGTCAGCTTTTATGAAGTAGGAGAATGAATTGGCAAGTATGTTCTCCAGTATTATATGAAGATTGCATTCACATGTCACAGTAAGCTATAAATCATGACTTACTGTGCACAAACAAATCTCGCCTGCTTTTTCTTCTCCCTACTCATTGCTAGGATGAAAGAAACCAATATTGTTGGCTTGGCATTAAACCAGGGATCATGGTTTATTTCAGTACAAACAAACACAGTCTATAGCCAAGGTTTTTTCTTGGCTTACTGATCATATTTTGTTTCCTCCCAGTCAATGGCAGTCAGCGGGGCACCTGGCAGACACCTCTCGCACTTACTAGGAGCCAAGAGGCACAGGGAGCTCATGGGGAGGGGGGGAGCAGGAGAGTCAGATTGGCTCCACCACTGGACCCACACAGTGTTGAGCTCCCCACACCTTGCCCCTTTCCTGCTCAGAAAGCAGTACTGGTGCTTGCTATTCAGAAGCCAGGTGTGCAGTTCAGCCTTCACACCAACTGCAACTGCTTCCAGTCCAAGCAGGAAAGGAGTAGTGAAGTGGCCTCGGTCCAGTACATCTGAAGGAGTATCTTCACCCCCATCGTTCTACTGAGGTCCAGTGCCGAGGACCTTCTGGCAGTTCCCTCACTGTGAGAAGCCAAATTACAGGGAACCAGGCAGAGGGCCTTCTCAGTAGTGGCACCCACCCTGTGGAATACCCTCCTACCAGATGTCAAAGAGAACAACAACTACTACACTTTTAGAAGACATCTGAAGGCAGCCCTGTTTAGGGAAGCTTTTAATGTTTGATGGATTACTGTATTTTAATATTTTGTTGGAAGCCGCCCAGATGGGCAGGGTATAAGTAAATTATTATTTTTATTTTATCATTATCATTATCATCATTATCACTATCATTATCATTATATTTATTTATTTTGTTTATTGGCGGGGTATAAATAATCAATTGTTGCTGTTGTTGTTCATACATAGTAAGCCATGGTTTTTGTCTTATCTTGACATGAGAACATGAGCATAGAAAATCAGCATGGCTGCTCTTAATACCAACATAGCAACTTCACATTTTCACTCTGTCATCTATCTGGTTAACATGCATTTTAAGTAGGTTCTGTAGGAAGCAGTTACACACTTTTGATCTTCCTAACCTCTGTTTTACAGATGCAAACTCAATTTTGAAAGATGTAAAGATGATGAATTCTAAATTTGGATCACTTGAACTAGGCAAGTAGCTCTTCTTAGAAGGACACCATCAAGAACTTTTTATTGCTACATCTTGTTTGGTAATTGTTCAGACAAAAGATAAAAATTATTTCTATGCATAGATCAATAAGTTTGATGAAATGCTTTGCAGCATGTTAAAAGCTGTTCTAAAATTACTATTTTTCAGGGGGGGAATCCTCATGGTCCTATTTTCATTGTTAAACTAGGTTGATAGCAAACACATCTTTCTAATTAAATACTGTATGTAATTTCAAGTTTTCTAATCCTCCATTTTAATTATTTATAAGCAGGGGATGAAGAGGAATATGCTGATGATTTCAATAGGTAAGAGAAAATTCAGAGTGGTATACTTCAAGCATTTATTTGCATTTGATATAAGTTAAAAAGAATGCCCATTATTTTTCAAAAAGGGTTTAAAAAGTTGTGTTTCCATATAGCTATACACCACACAAGCATTTTCAAACTATTTACTGTTCTTTTATTAATTTCTTGATGTTCTAATACTCTGGGCATGTTCACACATTATGGAAAGTCATGGCTAGTGAACATGCTGATAATTTCCAGTTTGCTCCTTTTGGTTAACAAACCATGATCCTTGGCTTAGTGTTGTGTCTGAGCTGGGGATCATGTTTGTTTCACTCTGCACAAACCTTTGCTTCAGGTAGTGATTTGTTTGGAGTGAAACAAGACCCTGATCCCTGGTTCAGATGTAACACTAAGCCAAGGATCATGGTGTTTTTCTCCTGCTTGCTAGTAGAAAGGAGTAGAGTAAAAGCTATCTACATGTTCAACATAAATTATTAGCCATTGATTACTATGACATGAACACAGCCAATTATGTGCTTCCAATTTTGATGTGTGAAAATATTTTTTTTTAATGAGCTGTCTTGGTTGGTTCTTGAAGTCAAGTATATATACGCTTCCTTAAGTGATCACATGGCACCAGCAATTCTTTATAGAATCACTTTGTGGGATGTGGGGAGCTCCATGTAAGTCACTGGTACTTTGAAGTAATGACTCCTGGTATTTGATGAATTTACTTTAATGTAGGATCTTTTAAGCAGTTCAGCCCACACGTAACTTTGAAATTCAACATTTTATTTATTAGGTATTTAGAAATGTTTCTCGTAGATATTTTAATTTATAAGGTGTTCTTTAACATTAAAGAATAGAGCTTTATTGTTTCCATCTTTTAACTTTCCCTCATGTCAGTACTAGTCATCGGTCAGAGAAAAGTGAAGCCAGCATTGGTGAAGAAATAGATGATATTTCCGTAGAATTAGACGACTTCAATCCTAGCGATAAAGTATGTATATTATACTTTACATCAGGGTGGGCATGTATCCATTTTCATTCTCAGTAGAAAGCTATTTGCATAGAATCCTATTTTTGTATTCTTAAGGTTTCTTGCAAACATATTGTTATTGTGAGAAACTGTTAAGCCAAACAATAGCTGTACCTGTTTGCAACTGTGTTTAAGGGACCCTTGCCAAGTGCCACCTAGTGGGCTACCTACTTTTAGTGGGATCCTCGCTCCCCAGGCGGTTTACTTGATTGCAGCAGGGGTACTCCAAACAGTGCCTGGTGGTTGAGTTTGGGAGTCAGCATTTCAATCCCACAGTGCCCCAGAGCAACACTACATCAGGGATACTGTAGGAAATTTAACTGATGGCTCTCAGACCTAGCCTTGCACCACTGATTGGAACACCAGGCAGGGGGATGGGATTGAAGGACAGGCTAAGGGGAATGGGAGTTCTAGTTCACAACATCTGGATGGTACCACATTAGCAACCCCTGCCTTTTTTCCTTACTGTGCAGAATGAGTAATGTGTGAACTGAGCTCTGCTTAATTTATTTGAATGTAAGATCTCCTTAATAATTGCAGTATATTCTCTATTTGAAAGAGGATGAGAGGTGGAGGTTATGGTTTCAGGGATACCACATATTTCAAGAAGCATAGCACAGTATAGCTCACACATGCTTTTAAAAACCATATGGTCAAAATAAGGGAGGGAGGGGTGGTACCTGAAACATATTTAGATTTTCCCAAGTAACTAACAGTCTCATGTGCACTTAATAAAGATTAATACTGTTAAGTCTACAGTTCGGGCAACAGAATTATCTGTATGATCTGCATCACTGTTCTCTTACCTCAGGAGTATTCTGTAGCCTCTCTGTACATTAACAAATGCCATTTCATTCTTCATTTTGCTTCAGTAGCAACTATATATTGTAAAAGTTCATTTTTTTAATCTTCACTGAAGAGAAATTAATAATGTGTTTGAATATATGAAATTGCTAATATATTTCCCCAAGTATGGATGAAATCCATCATCTTGCCAGCAAACACAGTGGAACTTCCCCTTCTTCTCCTTATGCCTACATCTGCTCCATCCTGCACCACAATCTGCTGCAGAGAGTCTCCCAATCTTCTGGAGCAGATTTTAGGGGCATGCTGTAGTGAAGAAGAGAAGGGGAAGCCCTGTTGGTAGCATTACAATAATAAAATGAACACAAGCATCAGCAGTGGCAGAAAGCTTCTAAATATTGATTTTTAAAATATGCTCTCTTTCCTTATTTTACTGGAAATTTAATGTACTAAAGCTGCTATCCTATACAAGCTTTCCTAGGAATATGTTTCATTGAACTCACTGAGACTTACATAGGGTTGCCATATGTCCACTTTTTCCAGGACATGTCCTCTTTTTCACAGGTAGAGTCGTCATAGCAAATGTGTCCTTTTCTTTGTTCTTTAAAATATGGCAATCCATATAGATAGATAGTGGTGTGTTGCCTCTTGCTCATAGGAAAGTACTTGAGATCTTCTTGATAGGAGTTTTTAATAGAAGATAATGTTTTAAAGAACAGCTTAGCTATAAAATACACTGGATTTTAAACATCAGTTAACATTTTAATATTTTCTTTTCTCCTAGCTTGAAGACTTCACACAAGATTTCACCATTTCTCAGTTAAGCGGTGAAGCAGATTACTTAGAGGATGTTGCATGAGTAGAACAAGCAAAGATCTTAATTTGTTGACTTGAAGAACTTTGTAGACTATATTTTAAGACAATCACTCTGCTGAAATATCCCCTCCCAAATTGTGCCTTGTGTTTCAACAGAAACTCCCCCAACAAACTGGAGTTGGGAAAAGAGTTTTTAAACTTGTAAGAACTGAAAGAAGAAGTAATTTTGGAGCGTGGTATTGCGGTCTCGTTAAGCTAATTCGTATGTGTAATATGTCAAATATTTCCCAGAAAGATGTCCGTTGCAGGCGACAGACACATCAAGATGATTGATCTACAAGAATTCATAAGGGAAGAAATCTACAAAACAGATAAACAGTGGCAAACATGGCTTAATGTCATGGCAACCATTTGGCTTTTTGCTGAAGAACAAGCAGTATTTGAACTTGCTCTTCTGTTGACCTAATTAAAATTACAGTTTTTCTCTCTTAGCTGTTGAAATTACTTTAGTGGCCAGGAGATATGAACCAAGATCTTCAAAACTGACTCGTTAGATTGCCTAACATGAGGCATATTAAAATACTTTAGTGGCTGAATCATGAATCCCTGTGGTTTCTAGTAAGTTGGTCTCTTGTTGCAACTTAGGTGCTTAGTTTTGCATGGCCAAGATCACTAGGTACTTCTGAAAATTGCAGCTGGAATATGAGCCTTAACTCTAAACTTATTTTTATATATTTAAACATTTGTTATTCTAAGATAGCCTTTTGTTTGTTAATTTAATGAAAGCTATAAATGGTTGTTAGCATGAGGGTTTTTTTCTTTGAAACACAGCTTAATACTGAATAAAACTATTCCAAGAAGGACTGTTTTAAAGTTTGGGAATGTTATGTGATGAGAATCCTTCACTTAAAATGATTGTGTGTGTGTGTGTGTGTGTGGTCTTTTGTTTTTTATGTGTGGATTTGAAGAGCATTTAATCTTGCCCTCTCTGAAGTTGTGGATCACACCTCCTGCATCAATTTGAACCTAAATATGTAAAAATGGCAAACATCTAAATCATCCCTTTGTAAATTCATTGAAGCCCCCTATGCAAATTAGCTTTCAGTCCTAAAAGTGTGTATATTTGCCTCATTTATTTCAAAGGGACCTGGATGTATGTAACTGCAGAATTGCAGCTTTAGGTTGTAGTTCACCAAAGAATGACAATACAAAAGCTTCCAAATAAAGCACATAGGGAGGCTGTGTAGTGGTTGGTGGACTGCTCTGGTGGACAGCATTAATCTCAAATCATGCCCTACCACAGTGGGACTTGTTTGTGAGCAAATGTATGTGGAAACAGGTTTTAACCGTAAGCTTTGTGAAATAGAGTCAGTGATGCAAAAGTTGATACAACTTCAGCAATACCTGCTGCATGATATGTTAAATTAAGTCCTGGCCATTTTGTGAAACTGAAATTAAAAATGTAATTATTTGGGTACTGCAAAAAATTACTTCTCAGATACATTAAGTAAAAAAATAATAATATAGCTTCTGTTTGAGCAGTTGGCTTCTTGATATAACAGTTATCCTAACAAATGCCAGTAAGCATTTATTTACTGTATTTGGCAGTATACTTTAAGGTTTAAGTCTACAAACTACTTTCTTAGTAGTAGTTCTGGTAATCAGGAATGTTGTGATTTGTCCATTATAGTTGAAGACCTAAATTTCACAATTACACTGGAACCTCTGTTTGTGACCATAATCCGTTCCGGAGGTCCATCCGGAGGTCGAAACGGGTCTTTGGGAGAGGCGCCGTTATTTGCAGGCACGGGCGGTGATTGCCCGCTTCTGTGCATGTGCAAACGGCGATTGCCGCTCCTGCGCATGTGCAAACGGCTGCAAACCCACCGGTTACTTCCAGGTTTGCCATAAGAAGCGGCGGTGGAAAGTAGAGGTTCGACTGTAATTGATGTGATAAAGTCTCTACAGCTTGATATCAGTTGTGTGCCATGAATATATGTATTTTTACCATCCTCAGAGCAAAATGCAGTAGTATATTTACAGCCCTGACACAAGGGCTGGAACAAAAACCTTGTGGAGGTGCTTGAGACTAGCACTCCCCCCCTCCCTTGCCTATCCTTCTGAACCATACACTGCTGCTGTGGTATTCATTAACTGCAGTGGCTGCATTCTACCCATGTCAGGGGCAGAATGCTGGTGTAGGTTGGTTGCTGGGAATTGCAAGTGGGGAGATTTCAGTTGCAGTCTTCTGTAGGTGAGCCTCGGTATGATCTAGCAGAAGCTTTAATTCTCATTTATTTAGTACTAAAAGACTACCAGCACTGACTTGATAATACTTTATTTCTCCATAGCTGGGGGAAGGAGGCAATATGGCAAGGATTCTTTTTTGATGTTACAGTGCGCCTCCCCTTGATCCTGACATTCATATACATGATAACAAAAACGGTTTAACCTGCTTGAGCCCTCCTTCAATTTCCTCTCTCCATCTCCCCTTTTTTAAACTTTATTTTTAATTGAGTGGGTTTACATCTTTTAAAAAGAAAGAAAAGACAAAAAAAATACACATCAGATTTTACATTTATTTATTTTAAAGCAATAGCATTAGTATTAATTGTACGGAAAAGAGTAGGGGGAAAATAGACAAGGTCAGCCACGGATGAGGAAAACAAATGGGGAAAATGCTAGTTAAAGACTACTGCCAGATGAATTACTTCATGGGCTTACTATATTTGAGAAACTAGACCTTTGATACATAATGTTGGCAGCATTAAATGCTCAATTTGCAGCTTCAACAACCTCCAGCCATGGACTTCATTGCTAGATTTGCATACTTTAGCCAGCTTTCCATTTTTCTTAGAGGTCATTTTCCATTTACCTGCGGCAGAAATGAGAGCAGCCCATAGAAAACAATGAACAATTTTAGCAAAGCTAAAAGAGAAGGCAGGCAAGCTGTTGAAAAATGGTATCTGTTCATTCCATTCTGGAATAACAAGATTCAAGATAACGCACAACCATTTTGTCTTATGAGGTGTATTGTAGTGTCAGTTACTTGCACTGTATTAATTCTGCAAGTATGCTCCTTTATAGAAATCAAACACTTGTTGCATCATGTAAGGTCCTTTTGTAAATGGTTACTATTATTGTTTAATGCTTGTTTTTTCTTAGTATTGTAGATCTTTCTATGTATAATATATTTTTTTAAAAAATTAAAAACTGTATACCTAAAATGGCAGACTCACTGAAAAAGCTTTTGCCTGCTGCCTACAAGAGCATCTCGGGTGGTCCTTCCACAGAGGAGGTGCCAGCACTAAAACATAGCTTCTCCCTGCTCACCACCCATCTTACTTCTGTCAGCAAGGAAACATGGAGGAAAGCACTGACTGCTGTCCTTAACTATACCCCCCACTGCCCAAATGCTGCCAAAAACAAAATACTATTCTAGCTAGAGATTTATCTGTGATTAAGCCATTTGTATTGATAACAGGGGATTAATACTTCTGTTCAGATAACCTAGGTACTTGATTCCCCTTATATTAGAGGAGAGAAACCAACAAACACAATGTTCCCTTCATACATGTACACATAAACATAATTTGTCAGTTTCCCTGCCTCCTTAACTGAGAGAGTCTTAGACCAATGTAATGTGTTTTACAAATACATGTCAGTTACATAAATAGCAAACAGGAAACTAGAAAATGGTTAAGCAGCTAGCAGAACTTTTCATGAGTGCTTACGTTTGTTAGAATGAGCTACATCTATAATACGTAGATTTTTTAAAAAGGGCTGCTTAATTTTTAAAGATGGCAGATGTCAATCATTTCATACCAGGTTAATTAATCAGGAATAACTACTTCCTGTCTTAAGCAGCCATAACTGCTAGGAGCAGGGCCAAGGCCCAGAGGAGAGTATAGTTCTAGAGGAAAACAATGGTGGCTACTTTGCATGTTTGGAGATATTTATGGGAACTTGCTTTCCTGTAGCTATGTACCTAGAATTGAGGTCTTGTGAGATTTGCTGTAGCTAATCAGAGAAGTAGTGTTGGATCAGAGCTAGTAGCATTCTGAACAGCAAATTAAGGCCCTTTCCTTGAACAGACAGCATTCTGGTGCAGTTAAGCTAGGATCAAGAGAGAGTAGTGCTTTCCTACGTAACGTGCCCTTTCAAGAATCACCAGTACCAGAGTTCCTTATTCATAAGCCATAGGGTGGGTTACCTGGTGAGAGGGTTCAGTGTGCCATAATAATCAGGGACATTGATCCCAGAGACAAAGAGAGTCTGTGCCACTGGTAGAATTTCCAAGCCAAATGTGTCCTCACCATACTATGTATTTGGTACCAAGAAGTCTAAGGAGATTGAGCAAAGAGTGTTTTTTTATTTTTTAAAAAGGAAGGCTCTTGGGTGTGAGTGGATTTCTTAAGATTTCATTACAAGTGTAACAGAGACCCCTCCCCCTATTTGCACATTTTTAAAAAGCCTTGCCAGCTGCTTGGGGAGGGGGTAATGTGGATTTTTTGAAATGTGAAAATGGAGGGATTTCCGCCATCTAAAATAAGGCATTCACTAATTCTGTAGTCTTCAGGGACATTTTTAACATACACCTCCATGAATCGCTTAAAAAAAAAAATTGGGGCAGAAAGAAAATCCACAAAGGGGGCCCAGAATAATGATGCCTTATAACTTTTTGGATTACTCTCTTTGCTTAGAAGACTGGGGAATGGCTACATATTTCTTTCTTTTAAACATGCTGTTTAGAGCTTTATGCATAATTCCTTTCCAAAATCACCCCCGTCATCAGCTCCTTTATGATTTTTCAGAGAGAAGCTAGAAATACAATATCATTCTTTTGCCTTATCGCTTGTTTACATAGAAGAACCAAAACCTGAACCCATAACACAAGGCTTAGCAGCTGTGATCCTACTTTTCCAGACAGAGATAAATCCCTTTTCCCCAGACTGAGTCTCATCATCCATCTCTAGGATGATGTTTACCATATTGGCTTTGGAAGAAATTTCTCTCTGCAGTTCTTCAGCATTATCAGATGGCAGATGACCTATTTTCTCATCTCTACCATTTTCCTTCCGCATATACTAACTGCAAGATGAGATAGATAGAAAATTTCTGAAATCTTATGACTGATAATTAACCGCATTAACCAAATTATGTAAAACAAGGAACTGAGCAGATGAGTGCAAAAGCTCAGATGGATGTTAAGCCAGATGTTCTTAACTCTTGCAATTAGGGGCTGTGTCTGTTTTTCTGTGTAGTGTGCTGCACAACAGAATCTTCTGGCATGGATGTGCATCTGGAAGGCAAGTGTGCATCTGGAACAGTCTTGGAAAGCAAAGCTGTTTTTCTTTTTTTTAAAAAAAATCATGGATTTAGCTCCCTCATTTGAAACTAGTCCAGGAAAAAAGGGGGCTAGGATTCACCTAACTAGCCCCATCAGCAGCTGCTCTGTGTGAGGACTTCTACTAGCACAATGGGGCCTCCTCCATCTCCACCTGCACTATCTAATATTGGTTCAGGGGGGGTGATAGGATAACCCCATAACAGTTTGTGGGGGAAGGAGAAGGGGCAATTGTTCCACCTGGCAAGCTGCAATGCTTGTGTACAGTGGTACCTCAGGTTACAGATGATTCAGGTTATAGACGCTTCAGGTTACAGACTCCGCTAACCCAGAAATAGTACCCCGGGTTAAGAAGTTTGCTTCAGGATGAGAACAGAAATCGTGCAGCGGCAGCAGGAAGCCCCATTAGCTAAAGTGGTACCTCAGGTTAAGAACAGTTTCAGGTTAAGAACGGACCTCCAGAAAGAATTAAGTTCTTAACCCGAGGTACCACAATGCTGGATGTCACCCAAGGTCTTAAAGCTATAATCATGTCCCTACCTTTTTAATGCGTTCAAGAAATCACATTAAATGTTCCCACCTCTTGGAAGTGCTTCAGACTTAAGAAATAGTCTTGGAAAGAGTTGCTAATGTGATTTCTGGTTTTTCAAATAAGAAACTGAAGTTATGACTTATAGCGAGTTGATGTGAAAGACAATTTCCTGTCTTTCAGTAAATATTACCTCATTTGCATTTAACAATGATGGGGAGATTGTGCCAGGTGTCGCCTTTTCCTGTTCTACCTGGGACACTGTGAAAGATGAGTTTCTTTGTGAAACACTTAAGCCAGATCCAGAAAGACTTCTAGAATTGAAAGGTATTAATTCTAGAACTGCACATGAGACCAGCAACAAAAGGTTGGCACATGCAGTGCTCCTGATCACTGCTCTAATCAGTCAGCCATGCCTTCCTCCACAATGCTCTATCAGCAGTCCATGGCTTCTGAGCATGCTCAGTCCCCGTTGGGCTGTTTTGGGGGAGACTCCCGCTTCTAAAGGTTTTTTCTAAAACCATTTTTGAGGGACTTCTGCAACCTCAAGGTTCCCCCAAATCTCTCTCGTATCATTGGTTTTGTTCCGGTGACATACTATCAAAGCACATAAAGCCTAAACAGCAGAAATGGAAGTAATAATTAAAAGT